AGCCCAATGAATTACACTCTGCTGTGAGGGCAGTCTTGCGAGACCCCCCACAAAACCACACTATTCGCTCTGATCTAGGAGTCACTCTAGGCACTGCCTGTTCCCCTAGCCTGACCTCCTCTCCGTTCTCAGTCATCTGTTCATCGTGGGCTGGTCAGAGCGACCAGACTGCAGGCCCCTGTGGCGTGCTAAATAGCATGGACAAGCTGCTGCCAGGATATGCTCCACCGCAGTCAAAGCCCCGGTATTTCTTCTTCTACAAACAGGGTCTCCCTGTTCGTCTTGTTGCCATCTGGGCTCCAGCACTTCTACATCTTACCTCTCCTGGCCTTCCTCATTCTAGGAGGCCTCCCCCTGGAGTCCAAACACCAACACCTGCCACTCGACCTATCCACACTGCCGACAGGTATTGCCCTCCGTCAACTACGAATCGATTCAGTCAGACCCCGGGCACGACGACGTACCCCAGGCTATGCCCTCGCCCTATCCTGTTCCTCTCGACTCTGCTAGCCCTCCCAAGGTCGATCTGGGGAGTGCCATCTGCACACCCCCTGCACACTACAGTAGCGCGTCACTCAGGGACCCTCACTCAGGCTACCGTCAATTCTAATGAATACACATTTGCCAGGAAGAGATCCTACAAACGTGCCTTACGTCGTGCTGCACAGGACCAGGCTCAGCATACGATTTATCGAGGTCGTGTCTGCACTCTGCAACGGCAGTTTCATCCGAGGCTGGCTGCGCCGACACCTCATACCCAAACCCGAGGGGGATCTACTCCGCTTTCGCAGCCCCCTGGAAACGGTGTATGAAATTCCGTTGCGTGACCATCACACGTACTTGGGCATACGGCATACGCATCTCATATCATTCACAGGCCAAACAAGCAGTCACCTATCGGCTACAGGCTGCGAACCAGGCCTGGCAAAGACTCCGTGGTGTACTGTGCTCCACCAGGCATCTTGCTCAGACACATCGTCTCAGTCTGTGGAAATCCACAGTGCTTCCCACGCTGCTCTATGGCATCGCGGCATCCAACCCAGGTGCCAAGGACATCCAGCGTATGCAGCACATGATGACCAAGCAGGTTCGAGCCATCACCCGATCCTTTGCACATCTTCAGAAAGAATCCACACAGGCTCTTTTGCACAGATGCTCCCTGTCCACCATCTTGGAGCATCTGCAGAGGGAAGCCGCTGCCTTGCATCGTAGCCTGACCAGCCTGAGCACTGACACGAGCTTCGTGACCCAAGCCCAGGTGGAATCAGCTCGAGACACTGCCGCCACACTTCATCTTCAAGTGCAACGTCAATGGCAGGTACCTCTTAGGGACACAGAAGGCATCACTGACCCTGCCGTACACCAGTGTCAGGAGTGTCATCGGGTCTTTACCTCCTTTCGGCTCCTCCGCTCTCACGAGGCTAAGTGGCATGGACTTAAAACCCCTGCTGCTGTCCCGGTGCCTTTTGACAGGTATGCACATGGAACAGAAGGACTTCCAACGTGCCGACACTGTGCCCATCCCTTCCGACAATGGGACGGCCTCGCCAAGCACATTAAACGCAATCGGTGTCAGGTACTCCGCAAACTTGCTACACAACCTCCTGCCGATGCCCCACCCTTGGCTCCGAGCTCCAATGAATCCGAGCCTTTACCAGTCCCTGCCCCGGCCACCCTGCCTCCTCAGGACCTCTCTCAGGGGACCTACATCCTGTCAGACGATCAGGCTGCTCTGCCCCCTCCTGCTCCTGCCGTTATACCTGAACCCCCTGTCTTAGACGCTCCCCTGCAGGACAGCTCCACTACGCCGAGCCATGAGGCTGTACCTCTTTATCAACAATCTCATGTTCTTGAGACACTACGTGCACGCAGGTGGACTGACCTCCTTGAGAAACCGGAGATCTACTCGTATCTCCAGCACCACTGCCCGCTGTGTTACCAGTGGCTAGCCACTCCTACCAGCATCAAGTATCATCTCACCATGCAACATCCAGAGTGGAAAGACTGCCAACCTGCGACTCTCAAGCTTCTTACTGGTTTCCGCCGACATACTGTTGTTCCATGTCGCTACTGCCATCAGCGAAACATCAACAAAGATCGTCATTGGAAACAGTGTCATGTCTTGCATATCTGTGCATTTCTAGCAGCGCACCATGACGCTCGGCGCGGATCCCATGGAGCTGGACGAACAGGAGAGGCAATTTTGGGCCCAGGCCGGTCCGGTCAAACGGGAACAAGAACCGAGAAGAGATGTGCTGCATCAAACGGAGCACTCCAAGAGGCAGCGCCTGGCACCACAGGACCGGAACAAAGGCAAGGGCAAGGGTACCAAGGGCAAAGGCAAGGGAAAGCAGGGCCTACCAAGTCCATCCAGTGCCAACCCGGTCACGGGCTACACAAATGGTTTCGGAAGCCATCCACCCAATCCCTGGACACAGACTCAGGACCTGCAGCCACTGGGAAGTCAAGATCCAGACTGGATGGAGTACAGGATGAATCGACTATCTCAGCTGGTCCTTCGTCAGGAGCAAATCATCTCAGCCATCCGTCAGGATCTGGTCCTCTACCTCTTTGTACGATCCGGACCAGAAGGGATGGTACCAGTTCTCTGCGAAGCAGCGGAGAAGTGGAGGAAGATGAAAGAGGAAGAACCCGAGAAGATCACTTACTCCCTCAAACTCATGCTCTTCAAGCAGCTGCTCATCACCCTACACCAGAGGTTGACCAACATGATTGCGGACGAGGATGCTCTCGCCAAAGCCAAGAACCTGAACTGGATCGACGATCAGAAACATTGGAAACATCTTACATGGAATCCCACCAAACAATGTCTGGAAGTCGACAACTCGGTGAGGCCAATACCGGCGGAAGATCTGTTGGCTCAACTGGTTCAGATGCGGAAGGCAGTTACGGAAGAGACCCTGGTGAGGTTCAAGTCCATGCGGAAGCTCACCACGGAGGTGACCTCCGACTGGATTCAATTCCAGATCTGCATGTCACTTCGCCCGGAGGGAGGAGCCATGTGGAGCACGCTGAACCAGTGGATCGGACAAGCATCGTGGCACACCCTGGGATGCAGGCTCCGTCGCGATCGACCGAACTACGACACCCTGGTCCAGGAAGTGTGGCAACATCAGATGCCATACTGAGTGCGCGCCCTAGTCTCAAGGCTGTCCTTCGATTGATTTTCCACAATCCATCAAATCTGTGCTACCTACACTCTACTATCTATGCCCTTCTGTGGACAATCCTTCAGGCTAGGCTGCATGATGTCTACGTCTCGCCTCCACCGCAGGCTCTTACCATGCTGTGTCCACCAATCACTGCCACACCTAATTGCCCCATTCAGGTGCTCCATTCGGTACCGTGGCTTATGCTGCTGCAAGCTTGGCCTTCTGTACATCGTCAGCATGATGCAGCTGAGCTGTTACCATACCTCTTACCCAGGTTCTCGCATAATGGGTTCAATGGTGGCTGGGAGGCCAGAAACTTCGTACCTGGAGGTATTGCCACTCTTGACAAGGGGCCTACCCAAGCTCCTATCCCGATTGCGCTACCGGCAGGTCCAAGCCTGGAGCTCCAGGCAGCCATTGATGGGTGGAGTGCTCAGGTTACAGCTCGTTATGCACTGCTGACTCCGTCTCCCATGCTCTGCATACAACTTCAGCGCTTCACAAACGCCGAGGGAGTCATGCGCAGGGACACCAGACCACTGGTTGTGGCCTCGACTACTGTTCGTATGCCACTCTTTACAGGTCTGCACACAATGCAAGTTCGCTATGTCCACTACCAGGTCGTCGCTGTACAGCTTCACTACGGGGCCACTCCTGATATGGGGCATTACAGAACTATCTTACGAGGACAACCGCTGTTTGGAGCAGAAAAGTGGTGGATCACTGATGACTCCTGCACCGCAAAGCCAGTCAGTACAGAACACGATGACAACATATATATAGTGTGGCTACGTCAGGTACTACCTCCTGGTGCCTGATGCTGAGCAAGTGTAGTCTTAGTCGATGGAGCTGGCACTGCCCTCCAGAACCCAAAAGAGGTTCCGATACCCCGAAAACCGGGTTATCGTCAGCTCGCTAGGCGAACCCGGACACTTCGCTGCGTGGTGAATGAATACTACTACTACTACTACTACTCCTACTACTACTCCTACTACTACTCCTACTACTACTCCTACTACTCCTACTCCTGCTGCTGCTGCTACTACTACTACTACTACTACTACTACTACTACTACTACTACGCCTGCTGCTACTACTACTACTACTACTACTACTGCTGCTACTGCTACTGCTACTGCTCCTACTGCCACTGCCACTGCCACTGCCGCTACCCTGCCACTGCCGCTAGCACTAACCACCAGAGCGACCACAACCCCGACCACTGCTACTGCTGTCATTGCTGCCACTAACAATTTCCATTGCTCTTCTGCTGCAGTCGGTGCCTACTTCCATGATAGCAACGATGATGCTTATCATGGTCTCTAGTGCCCTCGCCACTATTTATTTTGTGTGGCTGACCTGCCAATGCAGCGAACTATCAACAACCGCCGCCGGTTTGATTCGTAGTCCTCGCATGCAGAGACAGCAATGGCCACCACTGAAGCCTTGATGGCATTCTTCACGACATCAAGTCAGTGCTGGAGGTGACGAAAATCGAGTCTAGTGACCCACCTGCTCGTTGTCATCTCCGTTTTGCTTCTGAAGAAATTCACAGTCCCATACGAAGCCCTCTGGGAGACCCACATCCATACCTGGCAGCTTAGGGCTCCATATGGGTGGTTCTCAATATTAGGGTCCCTTTTTGGGTCCCTATCTTAGTACGGCACCTAATATTTAGTGTACCCAGAAAAGGACCATAAGTTTGACAACCCCCCCCCCTCTGTCCTCTGTCTTTGTAGCGCACCGTGCTGTGTACCCCTAAACCCTAAACCCTAACGGCATACCCCAGGTTTTTCATCTTCATCCCCTCGGTCTTTAAGAGCTGAGGTGGATGCGGCTTACGCGTCGAGGCGACGCGACGGAACTAACCTGGCTTAGTAGCAGGGTCGGTAAACATTAAACTTCTTTCGATGTGGCAGACAATGGCACACCCTTGTAAATCCTGTTCTGCCTTTGGCTATCCAGTGCTAGCTGAGTCGCAAGAGCACCCAAAACGACCCCAGTCTACTGGTAGAGCAAGCCCTGTATCAGGCTTTCGACTTTTGGCTTCGGGATTGGCAAACTTCGAAGCCTGAGCCCTAAGCCTGCCCTAAACGCCCTACACCTAAGCCCTTAGGCAAGAGCTGTGCAAGGCCCGTGAAGCGTGTAGCTCGGCGTCCTGAGCCTCGTTGAAACCGATCGAAGTATTTCTGTCAGGAGTGAAGGGGATGGTAAGTGTAACAGTGTAACAGTATCATGATTGTGAATGTACCGGGGCATGCAGCAGAGCATGTACTTGCTGCAGAGTGACGCATGGCGCATGACAGCAAGGCCTCTTGGCGACCTTACCCCAGAGTCGGCGCAGCAATTGGCTCGCGTCATGACGTCCCGCGCAGCGCAGGCTGCTGCAGGGTTGCAGAACCCAGAGAGCCCAATACCCCTTAATTAAGGAATATGGCTTAAATCATAATATGAAGCCCTATATAATTTAAGCCATATTCCTTAATTAAGGGGTATTGGGCTCTCTGGGAAGCTACGGGCCTCCTCTTTCGTGAAGGACCAGCTGTATGGAATCCGGGCCATCCAGTCAGGGAGAGTGCTCTTCGTCGCACTCGGCAGCGGCGATCGCATTATCCTAGGATGCCCAGTAGTACCCTTATTCCCTTTTTGTAGTCCTAGGTTCCTTATAAAGTTACCCAATACCAAAAAGAGAGGCCTTTTTATTCTTTCTGCGTGCGACATGTCACTGTCAGCGAATCGACACCGGTAGCCTGAAGAAATGCCTTTACTATATAGTACAATATACCACAAACCTCTATTCTAGTCGTTAAGGCCCCTGTAATACAGAGCCATGGGAACCCTTGACGGAGCCCCTAATAAAGGACCTTTTTAAAGGAACCCTATTCAAGGCCCCTTAAACCCTAAACCCTAATCATTAAGGCTCCTATGCCTCCCCGGGAGGCTTCGGCCCAAAGAATGGCCGGCGCTGTCCTGCACTGGGCAGAGGCCAGACTGCGTCTCGTGCTCTTGAGGGGTTCTTTATGGGCTTCTAGGAGGTCTAGGATTAAGGTATTAGGGTTGAGGGTTTAGGAGTTAGGGTTGAGGATTTAGATTTGTTTTTTGGTTTTTGTAGGGTTTCATAGAGTGGTCATGCAGTTTTGTCGGGGTTTATACCGATTGACATAGGGGCATGATTTTTAGACACGGGCGCTTGGGTACACGATAAGCAAGTTAATTTGGATAACATGCAGCTATGCGCCTGTGGGGATTGTCCGGGCATACTGATACCAATATTCCGACCCCTCCCACATCTAGGATCAAGGTTTACCGTAACGGCTTTACGCGCTGTCCATAAGCCTGTAACCTTTACTTCCTTGGGCTGACCCTCCTAAAAAGGGACCTTTTTGAAACGGTCTATATCCCCAAATCCCAACTCCTACGGTTGATGATACAAATCCTGAATTACCTTAAGGGGCTCTAAACTATGGGAATTATGGTATATTCCTCATTTTGAGTATTGCAGGTTTTAGATCATCAACCGTAGTTTAGACCGCAGAATTGAGGCATCAGGCCGGGTAGGGGCTTGAAGTAGCGTATCCCAGAGGCTTCATACACACTGCCATTATGGAGTTAGGTACCAAAAGACCCATCCCTATTCTGGTTTCGGGGACCGAATTCCTATATGAGCCGTCGGGGTATCAGACTGGTTCAAGACCCAACCCTTCAATTAGGCTCTGATATGGTATTCTTTTTCCGAAAGTTTCAACTTTTTACACGAGGGGTTTTCGGGAAGTACGGTATAGGGGATAACATATCATGCGCGGCGCGGGGGTGGGGGGGTCCCAGGTACCGATTTAGGATGGTTTTAAGTTTTAATTCCACCGTTTATCAATAAAGAGCCCTAATTATGAATGATTTTGGGGGACTGTTGAAATCGACGCCTAGTAAGCCTAAAAAAACCCTAGACTCTGACCCTAAACCCCAAATCCTATCCCCAAACCCCAAGTACCCTAAATAGTAGGATCCTTATTACATATATATATATATATATATATATATATATGGACCCCAAAATAAGGTACCCCTTGTTTTCGGAAGCTCCCAAATCGCTTTGTAAAAAGAACGACTCCAGAGGTCTGAGAAGTCAGAGCCCGCTCCACCACCGACGCCCGATGCCCCGCTGTCCAGCGTGGGGGATCCGAGCTGCAGGGATCTTGGGTCTTTAGGTTTTACGGTTGAGGTCTTTGGATTCTGAAGTTTATAGGATGGATGTAAGGTTTGTAGGGCTCAGTAGGATGCTTACCTGAACCCCAAAAGTACGTGGAATAATAGCCTGTTTTAGGATTTGGGTCATAATTTGCCTACTGTTGGGAAGTTTGGGTAATCTACTTCAAGGTTTTGGGGCTTAGGGAGTTGAAGGTTCAGGGTTTAGGGCTTAGGATTTAGGTAGGTTCTTCTCATGGTGGAGGGCTTGATCGGCAATGCTTTGGAGTATATTATGTGTTGCGTCGCAGGCCAGCCGACGTCACATTGATCATGCCCTGTGTTGATGCAGTCACTTTCTTGGTCGTTGAGAGGATTCGACGTGCCATAGTAAGTTTGCGGCCGATAAGAATACAGAATCAGCTCGGGAATTGTTCATTTGCTTCCTCTTTTTCCAATGATCCGTTTGGCCTCTGATTCGTTCAATGTTTCCCAAGGCATCATGTCAGCAGTTTACAAGACCATTTCCCCCTGTGGCCGAGGGACCGACAGCATTCGTTGACACTCGATGTATTTTCGGGCACTTCTCACAGAGCAAGATAGTGAGACGAAGCACCTTGGACTGTGCTGTTGCTTGCCAAGGTCCAGTTTTGCGCCCTGAGTGACTTCGCGGCAGTACAGGAAGTAGAAGCCGGACTTGCCATGCAGGGGCCTAAAAAATTGCAATCGCCTTCGAATGCTATGAGAATGTACCTCCAAAAGCCGTGGGTCACGCAGGGTCAAAAGTCAATCCGCAACCACCGGGGTCAGCTGAGCATCTCAGAGCCTGGCTTCTTTTTGACTTGACGTTGAGGCGTCGCAATCATGAGGGTATGTAAGGCAATGTAAGGTTTAGGGCTTTAGGCTTTCGGGAAGGGTATGCGCGTATAGTATAAGAGTTTCGGGATTGGTGCCTCCCCTACTACATCGACAGCAACAATCATTGGACTTTACCAAGCACGGCTGCGTGTAAGGTAGCTGGTTAAAAGCAGAGCATCTTTGGCTAATAGGTACGTGCAACCCGACTTGCCCCTCACCCATGCGCCTTCAAGTAGTTTGAGTCCTGGTAGCATGTACCACTATTTGTCTTCGACGCCTACTTGTCGTGTCCTGGGCTGATGATGAGCCTCGCGTTCAGGTGTTTTGAAACGTTTGGCCCAGACCCTTTCATCAATGCTGATCACAACCATTTACAGCTGGAAACACTTACGCCACATCAGTACGTAGTAGTAACTTAGCACGTCGTCCCGAATCAAGCCCTTAACCCGACGGTCTAGATTCAAGATTGAAGTCCGGACGGACGGTAATTTCAGCTTATGGGGTGCCTGCCAATAATTTCCATAGGTAGTGCTTTGAAGAGGCACTGTAGTACATCCCAGAGCAGCAAGGCAGCTTCGAGGGTGTCTCAACGCAGCTGGCGGCACAACTGGGCGCCACCGGCGAGCGCTGCTTCCACCGGGAGCTCAAGGCGACAGAAGACGTTAAGAGCTTAAGGTTATAAGGGTTCGGGACGGGTAGGGTCTGGTCGGGCAGGCTTTGGGATGATTCGAGTTGGAGGCTTTTGGATGGGGGGTTGCTTCTCTTTCTGATGATTCCGGCATTGGGTGCCCTTGAAGCGCTTTAACTTGTCACTTGACCATGCGGCTTGCTGATTGGAACAACGATGAACGACGGAAGTTCCTATATAGGAACTACTTTAAGGCCAAAGTACATACTATTTGAGTACATGGACCCTTATAGGCATTACCAACCCAGACAGAAAAGGTTCACCAGATCCCGGATCTTTTGGAGCGGCATTCCCCACCAGACGTAAACAGAAGCAGGGTGAGTTGCAAGGGCCGAAGCCGCTTTATTCTGCCTCCAGATATGATAGTTGGGCTTGCTGTATGTTTGACGTGTATATATGTTTGTCTACTATTGTGTGTCGTGCCATGTGCTTCATTAATCGTTTCTATGTACACTCTACATGTTTGTGTTTCAGGTTCATAGACCTATCATGCATACAGACACACATGCCTTGACATTCTACCCCATATACTTTTGGAGCCCTAATACCTACTATGTACCTACCACAATTTTTTTTGGACCCTTACAGTACTTCCTTCTCTAGAAACCCTACATTCTGCTATAATCGTAATTACTTGGACCCTTGCGGTACTTCTTAATTTTAATTTCCTACTATAGAAACCCTACATTCTACTACAATGGTACATGTACCCTTGTGGTACATCTAGGTTCACCACACCTCCCTACAGGAAGTGCGGCAACGCTGCCTCGTGGCCATGAAGGTGACGCCCGAACGGGAGAGATCTGCGCGGGGTTTAGGTTTTCGGTTTAGGGTTTAGGGACTTGAGGTGTAGGGTTTGGGGTTTAGGGACTTGAGGTGTAGGGTTTAGGGTCTAGGGATTTGAGGTGTAGGGTGTAGGGTTTAGGGACTTGAGGTGTAGGGTTTAGGGTCTAGGGATTTGAGGTGTAGGGTGTAGGGTTTGGGGACTTGTGGTGTAGGGTTTGGGGTCTCGGGATTTGAGGTGTACGGTGTAGGGTTTAGGGGCTTGAGGTGTAGGGTTTAGGGTTTGGGGTTGGGAGTTTCGCGGTTTAGGGTTTGGGGTCTGCGTGCGCGACTTTCAGGAAGCACTAAAAACTTCTTTGAAGCCACGACTGGTGTTTCTAAGGCTGCGCACATGCCCAAGGTTCTCTTTAATAGGGCTTTACATGTGAGTCTTATAGTAAGATCTATAGCTGTTCTCGAAGATTACGGGTCCTGTTGTTGGGAGACCCCTGCTGTTTTGGTGTGTCATCTGTTTTGAAATAGTAAGTTCGTGTTTAATGACGTTCGGCCGCGCAATGTGAGTGGGTACTCTAACCCCAAATCCGGCAAGGAAGCATTCCGAGAGGTTCGGCTGTGCCCCAAAAAGTTGGAAACCGGATTAAGGCCAAATGGTGCTGGGATTCCCTATACATTACTCTTAAGGATTGAGGCTACAGGGTTTCCAACTTTTGGGCTTCTACTGTAGGCATGCAGGCATGCACGCTCCTGAGGGGCCAGCGGCTTCCAGAAAAGCTTGAAGAGATAAATCAGCTGGAATACGTGAGTAACGGCACTTCTGGCAGCTTGGCCACACAACATAATGCAACAAACCCTCAGGAACCAACAAAATCACACGTACACACACACACACACACACACACACACACACACACATTGCGCGCGAGAGAGAGACAGAGAGAGACAGAGGGCTAGAGAGAGAAAGAAAACGAAAGACTTCCTTGTGCTCGGGCCGACAGCCCGGGGAGGGGCCGGCAGTAGGACCTGAGTTGCACGCGGTGTCAGGCGATCGAGGCATCGATGTGGCCTCCCGGCTTAAAGCAAAGCACTGCTCGGTTTATCAACATCGGTGGTCAAAGGCAAAGGTTTTCGGAGGCTTAGGACATGGGGCACGCAGGATGTAAGCTAATGAAGATCATGCTTTGAAGTTGGGGCTCGCCTTAAGTCAGCTTAGTCTTTAGCATTAAGACCTTACAAAAACGGGTAGGTTTTGGCAGTTGCAGGTGGTCCAAGGAGCTTCGAGCACAGACTGAGTAGACTGAGTAGAGGCGGCGTAGATCTAGGATTCAATGCTTCATTCGTCCTAAAACAAACGAGCCAAGCCTCTGACATATATGGTAATATAGGACCCTAAATATATAGTAGAATCCTTATTATAGGGCCCCCCAAAAAGGTACCCCCTGATTTTCGGAAACTCCCACATGTTCTCTCCAAGCAAACCAGTCGATCCGACCTCAATCCGGATCTAAAGTCCGAGCACATTCGCCGAAAAGGGTTTGGGCTTTGGTTTAAACGGCTCAGGCTGTTTGATTTGGTATTCAGGGTTTTGGTTTGGGGCTTTTTCTCCCTCTCCTCTCTCTCTCTCTCTCGCTATCTGTGTGTCTCTCTCTCTCTCTCTCTCTCTCTCTCTCTCTCTCTCTCTCTCTCTCTCTCTCTCTCTCTCTCTCTCTATGTAGATGCAGATGATGCATGCATGTATACACAAAAAGCTACACACACATATGTTTCTGTAGCTCTGCACCCTCAGCACAAGGCCTCCAGGATTCCCATCTTGGCCTTCAGTGCCTTGGCACACCGAGCCTCCTGCACCCTAAGTGCCCCCTAAGCCCGATTCTGAACCCAAAGGGTCCAAGTATCATTATGGTATAAACTTATAGGGTATTTTTTTGGGGGGGGTCTAAGTATATACCATAGTGATACCTGGACCCTTTGGGGAACACCACGATGGTCCACCACACCGCTACACCAGGATAGGATCCTGAAGCAACACCCCACAACAGCAGCAGCAACGACAACCGATCCTAGACTCTGGACTCTGGACCCCGGCTTGGCAGTGCAAAGCATACAAAGTTCTCGTGCGGCTCCTAAAAGGTAGGCTTCTCAGTTTTAAGGCAACTTGGAACTTGGAAGCGAAAGGAACAGGGCGCATGAACGCCAGGATCTACCACACCTGTGCTTCTGCGGAACCTGCGGTGGGAAGCGAAGAGCGTCGAAGAGGCTGCAAGGCCTCTCACCCTTTGGAGTTTGATCAAATGGTTCAAGGATCATTAGAGGTGCAGAAGGTGATTACAGTTCAGTGTTTTCAGGATGAGGATTTCGGCCGAGGGTGTTGCCTATGAAAGAGTTCACTTCGACGGTTGTTGCGTATGGTTTAGGATGTAGGGTTGAGGCTCCGGCTGGATTGAGGGATTTAGGGCGTGACGGTTTTTGACTGCGGTGGAAGGATTATATGATATAGGCCTGAATAATTGTGCTTCGGGTTACCTCAGACCTCCCAAACCTTGAAGGTCTTGCCGAAACCCGCAACCCTTCAAACCCTAAGCCCAACAACCTAAACCCCTCTGCAACCTCCAAAAGCCAAACCTTGAGCCCTAACCCAAAACGCAATAGAACCAAACACCCGAGAAGTTAGGCCTTATCACGCAGTGCTGCCGCAGGAGGCCGCTGACGTGGCTCCACCCGGAAATGCTTCGGCGGTGCTGGCTGCATGCCTTCAAGAGGACGAGGCATCCACCTCGGGGTTTGAGGTCTGTGGGCTCGTGAATTGCGAACCCAACAACGACCCTCAGTCCTAAACCATTTTCCGTGAGTCGCAGAAATATACATCCATGTACAACGCCAAGCTTTCATAGCCCGGGCCCTGGAGTTAAAGCCCTCACCCTAAATCCAAAAAATGAACACACCCAAATCCCTAAGCAACCTGTAAACAACCTATGCCATAACACCACGCAGCTCTATAAAGGCTTAGCAAAACCTATCGCACCCCCGCCAGGGGAGTCTAGAGAGCCACCTTGCTCGGCTCTCCGTGTTTGCAACTGCACCACAGATCGACGCCGAGGTGCCCTGCGTGAGGATTCGGGATGGATACGGTTCAGGGTTTATAGGGCTTATGGGGCTTATAGGGTTTATGCGGTTTCGGGGTTTAGGACCACGGATTTGGGGTGTTTGGACTTGAGACTCCGGATTTAGCTTTAGGGGCTTAAGAGTCGGCTGCGGGTTTAGTATTCGGGGTTTCGGTACATTAGGACTCCAGATCTCGGGCCCACGTTTAGTTTATGGTTCAGGGTTGGGGGGTTAACTCATGTTTTTGGAGTCATTTTACTTGCGTTTGGGGTTTTCTTCGTGGGGCAAGATCTGAAAGGTGCTCTACGAGAATGCAGCGTTCAGGGATCGGACCAAGCACTCTCGATGTCCCCATATAGCACCTGGAACCCTATTCAATTGGCTCAGGTGGCTAAGGAAACTAGAGCAGTTGCATCTTCCTGCTTTTAGGGACAGACCCGATCGTGCCTCGGAACAGTTTTGAAAGCTGCAATAAACCCCATACAACCCTGTTTGGTTTTTCTAAAGACTAAACTTGACTGAGCCCCAACCTTCAAATCCTCGTCTGGAAAATGCCTCTATGAGAACCCTTTACGGTCTACGTACATATACTACATATGGGCACATGGAGCCTGACGGTAAGCCCCCGTGTCATTGAAACCTTAGATGGTGACTTCTGAACTCTGAACCCCAAACTCTAAACCCTAGACCCTAAACCCCAAACGCTGTCGTATCCGTGTATGGCAGACGCTGCGGCGTCGCGCGGCAGCGCTTCGCTGTGCCAAGGCCGCTGCACTGGTCCGGCGCCGTGCTCGGAGGGTTCCACATTTTGGGTTTTTGGGGTTCAGGGTTCTGTTGGAACTAGGGTTCCTTTAAGGGTCCCTTTAAAGGGGATCTATAGGGGTTCCTTAAAGGGGTCTGTAGGGTTTAGAGTTCTGTTGGGTACTTAAAGGATCATGGGACTTAGTAACTAGGTTTATAATGAAGGCAACTATACTTATCACTAGTTATAACCCCAATTCAGGTACTTCTATCCTTACTTGCTAAGTCCCATGATCCTCCAAAAAGGCTTAGGGTTCAATTTGGGTTTTGGGTTCAGTGATTCAGAAATTTGGGATTCAGAACTTCGAGTTTAGGGTTTAGAGTTCGCCAAGGGCTGGGGGCCGGTGTGGGGTTTTAGAGAGAGTGTTTAATATAGGGGCCTTAATGATGATCTATACTATTTTGGGGGTTCCTTATTATAACTATAGTATAATGGGTCCCAAAACCCTACTCTAATTATTAAGGCCCCTACATTAGATGTGTTTAGGGAATCAGGTGCTTGGCTCCCCCAATCCTGAAAGAATGAACTAATCCGACGCGTGGGTTTCGAGACAGAGTTGTGGGGCTTGTGCCTCATGGTAAATCAGCGGGTCATCTACCACTCGCTGGGCTTTGAGGTCTACAGGTAGAAGTACGCGAACATGGCGGATGGTGGATTTTGTGATCCATGTACATGTCCTGTCAAGTATTGGCCGTAAGGAGTTCCCGTATACCTATCGGGTGATGCCATACATTTTGCAGGGTAACTAGTTTATGGTTGGGATCTGCTGAATTCAGAAAAGCAGGTACTCTAAAAATGGGGTGGCTCAAGACACTCTAGGTAGTCTACGATAGTCTATAGCCCATTTACGGCCAATGCATATGCTGTAGAGTTGCATGGGCCCTGAGGGTTCACCTTTTCTTCCCGCCGAAAGGGAAATATCGACAATGACCCCCTAAACCTTAGACCCCTACACTCCTAAACTTCCCAAACACTAAACCCCAAACGCCAAACCGCTGACACCGAAACTCCTAAACTCACCAAGACTTTAAACCCCAAACCTTAAACCCGATTACTCTAAGAAACCCGATTACTGCAAGAGCCGACTTAAGGCCTGAGGAGATTGTTGCACGCCCGACGCTAGGGATGCATTTGGCGGCGGGGTGTGGCTTGGGGTTTAGGGTTTAGGGTTAGGTACTGCCCCCTTACAGTAAGAGTCTATAATAGGGCTACTATTAAGGTCCTAATATATCTATATTATGAATATTATTCAACTACTACTGAGTGGGGGCCGTACCCAAGTTTAGGGTCTTTGAGGGCCCGGGCATTCAGGGTTTAGGGTTCGGGGCTCTGAGATAATTGTGAGAGCCTGGAAATTCGCAAGAAGCATGCTTGAGTAGCCGAAGTAGCTCTGAACCATGCAGCTGACTGGGTACAGTCAGTCAACACATTTCCGGTTGTTGGAGGGTGGGAGCACTATATACGGAATCTCTTAATCTAAGATCATGACTTCGGGGCTGGCACGGTTAAGGATTTCTTCATAGCGCGAGTGTTTAACGGCTCACACCGATGTGCAGTGCTGCAACGTCGAAATGAGTGCTCCACGGATGTTCTTGAGCACTCACATTTTGTTGAACTAAATCCTCCGTGATGTACAAGGATGTCCTCTCGAAACATCAGAAGCCCGGCATGCATGCAGGAACAAGATGCAGCAACAGATAATCACGTCAGCCGATGTCCCCTTCCGAAACCCGAAACCAGAAACCAACACGTCACGGCCGGTAAAGAAAGTCACATCAAATCCTAAAGCCCAAACCCTAAACCCAAACCCCCAAACCCTACAGGCCCTGAGCCCGGAACCGTATGACCCCCAAACATAAACCACAATTCAACAAGGGGGGCCACCTGGGCTTCAGAAAAGGCAATAGGGCAGCATCCAGCGGCCTTGGTAATTGTAATACTTGGAGGATCATGGGACTTAGTAAGTAAGGTTATAAGTACCTTAATTGGGGTTATAAGTAGTTATAAGTATAGTTACCCTAATTATAACCCTAGTTACTAAGGGTCATGATCCTTTAAGTAGGGTGCTTGAAAAGGGCCCCTTTAATGGTTACTACAAGGCCCTAACAATTAGAACAGGGCTTTCGGGTATAGTAGAGCAAAGCTATAATCAGCAACCCTAAGGAATAGTATAACGAATTCCTCCGACCCCTATCTATACTAAGCCCAGACGGTTTGGGGCTTTGAGCTGAAGACCCGGGGCTTAGGGCTTACCTTTAGACACCTGGTGCGGAATTCGTTGGGGGATCTTGCTATCCAACCTAGGATGGACGTGGGCGTAGACTGCTTGCCTTCGGAGCTTCTGAAGGCGCAAATGTCAAGCACAAGAAGCAGTTGACTGAGTACATGGTGTTCAGAATATGTAGTATAGGGGCCTAATCGGGCCCAGTAATTAATATCAGCGGGGTTCCTTTATAGGGTTGCCGTAAGAATTCAGAGCGCGCGGTTTGAGGTTGCAGGATCTTTGTTGTCAAGGTTTCTGGTACATCCTTTCCAGCAGACAACTTCTTGAAACCCCACTTGGACCTTACAAGGCAATATTTTGTTTTTTTGCAGGAGGGGGTTGGTGATGCTCTAATTTCTGATTAAGTTATTGGATCTTACCTATAAGATTGGCTCTGCAGGAACATGGTACTGTAGTCAGGGGCTTAAAATAGACCCTAAACCCAACCTGTAGCCCAAAAACTTACCTTTTCAAGGGAATAGAAAGAAACCGCACCAAGGAACCCTACAAAGCTTGATTTTTTGGCACATTGGGGCCACAGGCAAATCTCTTAAGTTAGCTTGAGCAACCTGAGACGAGGCTATAGGGTCGAGGGTTTAGGGCAAATCATATGTCAGTTCCATGTCGACTGTATCTAAAGTTCAGGAATAGCTTTCAATCAAGACATGTACAATGCTTATAAGAGTAACTATATTGAGGTGCGCATCCATCCATCCAGCCATCCCTCCGTCCATCCATCCATCCATCCATCCATCCACCTACCATCCATCCATGGGTACATGCAGGCACATTCACTATAGTGTGCCTTTGGGCCGAAATCCCCAAGGTTTGCGTCACGAGTCAGCTTGATACTCACGAGCATTGAACTGTGCTTGAGATTCGAGAACCTAAACTCCCCTCCAGGGCTTTAGCGGTTTGGGGTCAGGGTTTCGGGCACCTGATCTTCAAAGTTAACTGTAGAGCTTTTATGGGGGACCGGCGGTTCAATCGGATCTTTGCTACAGGGGTTCCCTTAATGGAGCGACCACGCCGCATTTCTGAGAAGCAGTCTGATCACCTCTGAGTTCGTTGATGCTTGGATTCTGGCGAGCCTATAAACCCTAAACCCCTTGTCGAAACCGCAACCCATGACCCAAAAATCGCCGGTCCCAAACATGTAAGCCTAGGCATTCCAGCCAAGAGCTCGCTCCAGAAACGGCCATCTAACAACTTAACAGGGCTCCGCCCGAAACCTTGATCTGTAAAATCAAATCCCCAAACCCCTAAATATCTAAACCCTTGAACCCCTGAATCTCAAATCCCAAAACCGAAGACTAGGATGCCCAGTAGTACCCTTATTCCCTTTTTGTAGTCCTAGGTTCCTTATAAAGTTACCCAATACCAAAACGAGAGGCCTTTTTATTCTTAGGTTACTGGGTATCCTAGAAAACCGAAGATGTCAGCTTCTGAGACGGCCTTCTACAAAGACCTCGTGAAGCACTTTGCCGAGCTTCCTTGGATCTCACTGAAGCACCCGAACTGCACTTCAGGAGTGCCCTTTACTTTATGATAGGGTTTAGGGTTTAGGGCCTTAAATGCCCATAGGCCCCATATAGTAGTTCCTTTCGGGACTGCATATTTTTCAATTCTTTAAGAAAATCCCAAAAGGGAACCAACTTGCCCTAGGCTCCATGTTGTCAACACCACAAACCCAGAAGCCGCCGAAAACAAAACCCTAAACCTTCAAACTGTCCTCAACCCTAACACACAGACCCCCGGGAGGATCCAAAAAGTAGATCCCTTAATGGGGGTTCCTATAAAGTACCCTTAGTAGTATAGGGCCCCAGATTAGGGGATCTATTTTCTAAATCCTCCGAGGGGTCTGGGCACACAAAGCTCACAAACTCCCGCAAATTAACCCTAAGCCGCGAAGCTCTTCCGAGCGAAGGCATCCGTTTCTCCCGCGCTACGACCGGGGCACATTTCTGGAGTTCGTGGCCTGGCCTGGCATTGGTATGGGAGTTTTCGATCATTTGGGGTACCGTATTTCAGGGTCCTTACAATCAGTATTCTAAAAATTTCGGGTATTATATCAGATTAGGGTCCCCTATTTCCGAAAGTAGAAGAAGTCGAAGCCTTGAGCTTTTTACGCCCTGAATCCGAATCCTCAACCCTGTAAGGCCCCAGGGAACCTTAAGGGTTCAGGGTTTAGAGTTTAGGGTTCAGGGTTTAGGGTTTAGGGTTCAGGGTTTAGGGTTTAGGGTTTAGGGTTTAGGGTTCAGGGTGCGAGTTCGCAGTACCTCACCTGGAAAGTTGAAAGTTTCAAACCGAGACTCGTCATCGTGCAGCAAAGAACCCGATTCCCCGAAAACATCCTATGCCCTGGTTCTGCAGAGTCATCCTTAAACCCTAAACCCCTATACCCTAAACCCCGGAACCCTAAACCCCTAAACCCGAAACCCCTAAACCCCTACACCCTAAACCGAAGGGGGTTCAACCCTCAGTCTCTCCCGGACGAGTGACGCTGAGTCATCTTAAGCGCTCCTAGTTTTGGCCTCGAATCATGTGGCCAAAGCTCTATACCTTAGGGACCCAAAAAGCACATAAGCATAAGCATTTTATGGGGATATCCCTACCTTACTGGGCTTCATTATAAGGGGATTTATATGGGATATCCCTATCCTAATGTTTGCTTATGTGCTTTTTTTGGGCCCTAATACCCTAAACCCTAAACGCGAAATCCCCAAGCCCTACTAAGGCTCAGTCTTTGCCGACTTGGGTGTCCTGGATGTTCGAGAACCTTCGCTTGCATGAAGCTGCTTGAGGCTTCGGGTGGCTCAGGGTTCACTTATTTACACTTTGGGGCTTAGGGCTTAGGGCCCTAATCCCTGGAATCTAGGATGTTTAGGAGCTTTGGGTTTGGGGGTTTAGAGATTAGGGTCTACAGCCTTATATAACCCTAAACCATAAGCCCTAGGGGTGTTTAGGGCTTGGGGTTTGGGGGTTCAGGGAAATTTGGGTTTGGGCTTGAGCGCAACATACGAAGAACAACCCCATACGGGGTTCGTGTTAAGGAGTTTTTGGAGGTTGCCATGATAGGGACCTATAGTAAATGCTGTGGTTTATGGTAACTTAAATGAAAACCATTGCAAAAGGAACCCCGTAGACCTTCAGCACCTTCAGCATTTAAACCCTACGTACTGGATCCTACTAAGCCCTATAATTCCTGAGCCCTAACCCTAGTCGGAAAAGATCCAACAAAAAAACAGAAAAAACTAACCCAACAGTTTCCCTAAGCCCTGTAAACCCGAAGCCTTGCCTCTCAGTCGTGGACCGAGTCAATGCAAACTTCAAAAGCGTCGTCTTCCTTCGGTTGTTTAAGATCCGTCTCACTCGGCAAGCACTTCTCAGCCCTAAACCTTATAAGCCCAACTTGAATTCCACGCACTTCTAAGCACTGCATCTTCAGCAGTAAGCTATGAGCCTCAATACCAGAAGGCGAAGCCTCGGGGTCCAAAACTTGTGCAAGACAGTATCACCCAAGGGCCCTATAGTTACTGTTCTGGGGGATACGTTGCCAAGTCACCAAGAGTAATTCCGACTATAGAAACCCTACATTCTACTTTACAGGTACTTAGGACCCGTAGCGTAACCTTTAACCCGAAGCCGGAAACGCCTGCCGAGTAGACAGTAGGCCAAAGCCGTCAAGGAGCCCAAATCCAGCAATTTCAGAGCCGACGGCAGCCAAGCCCGGTGCCAAGCCGCCGCCGCCACCCTCCACCGGCCCAAACACAGGGATTCCATAGCCGCCAGCAACCAAGCCGTACTTGTCTCTGGCACGCAAAATGCATACCAGAATTGCAATCCAGCAGCATTTAGCTTCTTCTGCGGCTGGGTAAAGTTATGCTTGACATGCAAGAAGGCATGCTTGGCTTCCTGCAGTACACCGCCAACGCCTGCAAGGCTGACGGCTGTATCGCCAGCGTTGAGAATGCGAAGGATGCCCCAAAGAAGATCGGAGGAGCTGAGCCAGGCAGAGACGGTAACCGCGCTATTCTGGAAGGAGGTGGAGGCTTCTGCTACGATCCCTCAAAGGAGCAGTTGGCGAAAGATGAGCGCGATGCAATGTCGCGAGACGCTTGTCCATTGTCCATGGGCAGCGTCTTTGCCCTAAACCCTAAACCCTTCTACCCCTCAGAAACAAATCAAACGGAGGACTGCTTGGCGCAGGCCCCCGAAGGGCCCAAGTATTTATGGTGTTCGGTACCCAACTAGGACCCTTATGGGCAGGCATAGACAGAACAGGCTTTAATTGATGGTTCGAAGAATCCTAGGCTCTGGTTTTTCTACGACAACGTCTTCCTGCCGCTCTTTCGCCATTTGGCCGCACGACTTGGCTTGCCGCTGGAGTATCATTAAAATTTGAAGCCATGCACATACGAGACGCCCAACATATCCGGGTGGAAAAAATGAGTGACCATATAGACCATATAGTATGCCCTGATGGTCACTGCACAGCGGTGCTGAGACCCTGTTCTGATTCTTCAGGCTTCGATCTCATGTCTTCGTACCCCTAAACCCTAAAGCCTGTCTTTCAGGTGACCAGCCCTTCTGGGGCGCCTACACGGCACCGCTCTTTCGACTCCCTCCTTGGGCGGTGCCCCACGGAGTTGACCGGCGCGAGGCCGGGAAGGGATCGACTTGTTTTGAGGGTTTGAGGGTTTAGGGCTTAAGGGTTTAGGGTTTAGGGGTTTGGTGTGTTGGGGTTTTGGTGTTTTGGGGTTAGGGGTCTTGCGGTCTGGGGTTAGGGGTCTTGGGGTTTTGTTTTGGCGGTTTAGGGTAGTCGGCATTTGGCGTTTGTCCTTTTGCTGTGTTTCGGGTTTTGGGCTTTGGGGGTTCGATTTCAGGGGTTTAGGGGTTTGGGGTTTTCGCGTTTGGTTTAGAGGTTGAGGGGTTCCGGTTTTAGGGGTTTGGGGTCTAGGGTTCGGGCATTTGGGGTTTAGGGGTTTGGTGGTATGAGGTGCAGGATTTCGTTTTAGGGCTTATACAGGGGTTAGGGTACTGAGGTTTAGGGCTCAGGGGGTTTAGGGGTTTAGCGCTTTGGGTTGCTTCTGTGAGCATTGTGGAAAGACTAGCATGAGCCACGATGTTGTTGCCTATCCTTGTAGTTGCCTGACTGCGAAGCCGTTTCAGCCCAATTATCACATAAGCCAACATGAGCCCTAAACCCTAAATCCTAAATCCTAAACCCCAAACCCTAAATCCTAAACCCCAAGCCCCCTAAAGACTTAAAGCGTGGGTTTAGAGGCAAGGGCAGACTCAAGGGCGGCACGCGCGGCAGAGCTCAAGCTTGTGGAAGACTTGGTTACCCATAGGCTCCAAAGTAGTTCCTTCTTGGGATTACCCTATAGAATTCTTAAGCATGAACCCCCCAAAAGGAACTACTATGGAGCCTCTATTTATAGGTAATTACGAACATCGGTGGCCGCCGCATGATGTTCTCAAAATGCGCTAAACCCAACTCCTTGCTCTGAATCCTGGAGGCTGATACCTAAATTCTTAGCCTTAAGCCGCCTTTCTCCCAGAGCTATAACAAGCCCTATAAGCGACCTCTAAGTCGTATATCCAGTATCCCGAAACCCTAAACCCAGTCAAGAAGCCATGAGGTGGTCCTGGAGCGCTTGGTCGAGATGTTGGCCTTTGACAGGCCCTCCTTCGAAACTTTGTGTCCAGTGTTCGGGTTGAGGGTTTATGGTTCACGGTTGAGGGTTTAGCGCGAATACGAAGCTTAAGGACCTGAATGTTCCAAGTACCTAGTAGTCACATACTCTCCAAAATATGGGACTACTATCCTAAACCCAAGTACCTAGTTATTGGGTCCTTTGAACCCTTAAAGTAATGGTTTAGAGGTTTCGGGCGGTGTTTTAGGCCGTCAACCCTGAACCCTCGGCCGCAGACCCGAAAGGGGTTTAGGGCGGGGTTTCATAAGGCTCGGCTTTCGTGTATACAGGAAACCGGGATGTTAGGCTTCAGGGTTTCGGGGTTGGGTTCAGCCTTCAGGGTTTAAGGGAAGTTTACCCAAAGGGTCCAGGTATCATTATGGTATATACTTAGACCCACCAAAATACCGTATTAGTATATACCATAATGATACTTGGACCCTTTGGGTTTAGGGTTAACTTTCTGGGGTTGAGGGGTTAGGCTTTGTGAGTTTATGCGTGGATGTCTGTATTTGGGACAGGGCGGAGACCTGTGCATGTAGCCTATACTATACCTGAAGCCCAGGGGCATAAAACCCGACATTTCTTATCTATCTTGCTGTTTGCATCGTCAAGGTCAGGGGCCGAGTCAAGGGCTTGTTTTGGGCGGAGGAGGGCGGCCGTGAAGCCTTTGCCAAGGCCCGCATCCTAGGCCTAAACCCTACTACGCCCGCCCTTCCAGACAAGCGTCACCAAGAGTTTCTTCTCCCTGGAGACCTGACACCTGAAAGCCCCACACCCTCAAACCGTAAGCCCCTAAGCCCTAAGCCCAAGCCCTCAAACTCTAAACCCTAAACTAAACCCTAAACCCTCAAGCCCTAAACCCCTAAACTCTAAACCCTACATCACCCATAAGCCCAAGCCTTTAAAGCGTCTTTCCAGGCCCTCGCCTTCCAGCCAGGGCGTGTCGATGGCAGAGGCCGGGCCTGTGCTGATATCTTGGGGGTAGTTTTGGAGGGCTTCAATAATTAGAATAGGGTTTAAGGGGTCCTTATTAAGATTATCGTATAATATACCTCCAAACCTTATTCTAAGTATTACGGCCTCTATGTGACTTTTCTTTTGCTTGGGGGCCCAGCCCACCATATAGACCAGACGCTTTCCACAGAGATATGGAACTGCTGGGGGGGGTCGATGTCGGCACAAGCCGTGACAAAGCTCCGAGGTAGCTTTGAAGGCCTTTGGGGGGTGTTGTTGATCGAAGCAACTTGAGGAAAATTATATTCCATGTCCGCGTTTTGTACGCGACAGAGGGCATCGTGGCCTTTGCATCGCACAAGGCCGCTGCCCGGCGCTGCCCATCCCTGAGCCCCAGCCCGACTTCTCGTTTTCGTGGCCTTGGCAGTGCAAGCCAGACACCCCTAATTACATGGGAGTTTCCCCAAATTAGGGGAACCTTATTTTAGGGTCCTTATAATAAGGATCCTACTATTTAGGGTACTATGTTAGGGTCCCCTATTTTCGGAAAACCCCACATGAAGTATCGGTGCCACTGAAAATCTGACCTATATATGTATACTTACCAAGTCATCAGCAACCCAGGATGCGACATCTTCACCCCTTTTCGGGGGGGGGGGGACTGGGAGACGTATGTTTCGGGGTCCTTACTAGTACAGCAATGACATCTTCGGGAAACACACACGCCCCGAATCTAGACAACGACTGTTTGGGAGCAAGCAGCATACCCCAAAACCCTACTTTAGGGGCTTTACTGATTACCTATAGGACCTATACTATTCTGGGGGCTCCTCTTGTAATTATAGTATAATGGGACTCCCTTGCAATGATCATCCCAGTAGGTCGGCGTTTTCATGGGCGAGACTTGCGCCTCCCTCCTGGCGAAGCATCTACCGCTGGAGACGGCGCCTTGGCTATCTTACTATCTTGTAATATAGGGACTACCAATACTATTTTGGGGGGGTTCCTTATTTAGTAATGGGCCCCAAAACCATATTTTGATTCTAATTATAAAGGCCCCTACATTAGGTTCTCGCGAAGGAGGTCAAGTTCGGAAACCAGAACAGACAGATGGTACATGGAATGCCTTCCTGACTTTAGTCTCATAAGTCTTAAGCTAACTACCCGAGCAAGCAGCAGTAGCACCAATTGTGCACAGATTGTCTTGCAGCGTGTTTGGCCATGTACGAATCTGGGATCCGGCAAAAGACCAGGGTCATATGCACGAGCATCGGCATATGCAGTTGGCGGCATGCGGTCTTGGACGGAGCTGTCCGGCTGTTTACGTACTTGGAGGCTCTTCTGACTCGGCAAATCTGCGTCGTATCCCTCGGCAAAGCACATCTTCTCACAAGATGGAACTTCTGCAGCCTTCGTTGGGCTTAGGGTGCGCGATGGTGCACGAGATATACCCAGCATGGTGACTCAGGAGCAAAGATAGACAAACATCTTTGTATTCGCGATTTGTCGGCTACAAATCTCGATTGCCTGTGCTATTCTGGAAACAAAACCCAAATCCATGGCCTTTACCCATAGGCCCCATAGTACTTCCTCTCTGGGGTTCATTTTTAGAAACCTTCAAGGTAATCCCAAAAAGGAACTACTATGGGGCCCATGGGCAATACTCTGGAATGCAAGAAGTCGAGCCCTGAAGCCTGGTTGCTGGTTTCAGGTCCATCTTGTTGACCTCTGGGACAACAATCCGACCTACCAGGAGCTGAATAAGGGGACCCTACTAGAGTACCCTATAAATAGTAGGGTCCTTATTATAAGGACCCCAAAGAAGGTACCCCTAATATTCGGAAACTCCCTGAGGGGGAATATTTCCACTTCGTGTATTCCGACGCTACATTTTGCTAAGTGGGTTTCTGATCTTGGGTTCTGGTTCTCCAGCACCCCAACTCGTTTGGATCGTAATCGAGTGCTTGAGCTCGCTGGCTCCTTTCAGTCATGATTGGCAGAATCGTGCATTTGAGACTTTATTCCACCTTGTGATGAGTATAGACCCGCCCTCCCGAAATAAGAATCATAAGCACAGGGGCTCATCAATCAGTGGGTCTACGCTAGTGGAATCGTGTGTTTCGTCCCATATAATAATCCTCAATCCCGAAGCCACGAAAACTTCAGATTCCGTTAGCAGCTCCCCTATCTCTTACACAACAAGGGAAGATAAAGATATGCAGCTCACTAAGCCTTGCTCCTTGTACAAACTCAAAAGCACAGTCTCAACAGACGTATCCCCTCACTCCCCACCCTCCAAAAGAAGAAAAGCTGCCAAAACCGCCCCTGTTACCTCCATTTCCGCGAGACCCAACCGCTGGAGAAATGCTTTGCATGCGGTTGAAACTCAAGTTTAAAGGCAAAGGGTGCACTTTCAGGGTGGATGGTTCATGGTCTACGATTTAAGGTGTCATATATGATGTGGGCTTATAAGCTTAGGGGAAGTATCGTGGTCTGTACATCAGGGTTGAGGCGTCCCCACGAGAGAATATCCGAACTCGTCATTCATACCGCCAACTTCCAACGGCTTACAAAATCGGTTGCAGGTAAGGGGCATCAGCGTCCAGTTTAATTTGGGAGTTACCCTAAGGCGCCAAAGTAGTTCCTTTTTGGGATTACCTTTATAATGTTCTATATATGAACCCCAAAAAAGGAACTTCTATGGGGCCTGTGGGTATCACCAAGCTGGATTGACCAGGGTGTCCTTCGCGAGAAGAGCCACCTGGGTGACGTCTCGGCAAACGAGGCGGGTGGTCGGACTGTAGGGGCCAATCATTTCGTATACTGTTTTTGGGGGCTCCGTATTCCAATTAAAGAATGATATACTGATATACCACCAAAACCCTATTCTAAACAATACGGCCTTTTAAAAAAAACCCAAAGCCCTCAACCCTAGACGTTGGCCCTAAACCCTGTTTGGACCCTTAAAATTCGGGCGCAGGTTTTGTGTTTTGAGAGCTTGCACTAGATTGCTACTTTTTTGGGGGGGGCGGTGGCAGCAAGCCGTCCTCATCTTCGTCCTCTCTCAAACCTCAACATCCAACTTTCCGACCGGTTTATCTCGACCCTCAAGCCTTCTGCTGATGTGGAGCTCATGCATTGAAGTGACAATAGTGCTTGAATACCCGCAGCTTCTAGGCTTTATAGAAGACTGGACATTTTTTGATATTCGTACGAATGTCCCTGGAGTCCCCTATATATGTATCTCTTACTCAGGCCTCGGCATCGTGGCCTCCAATTTTGGCTGCTTCGGCTATCTCAAACCTTAATCCCTAAACCGATCCCCAAGCAACCTGGGAAGGCACGCAAGCGCGTGGAGCAGCGCTTCGCGCAGTATGCCAGGCCTTTCGGCTTGACTTTGGCTCAGTTCGGGTTCAGGGTTTAGGGTTCAGGGTTAAGGCTAATTCGGGTACGTATGTAGCATCTTGATTGGATAAGCTAGATTATGGTTAGGATCTTATAAATCAGGAATTATGGTACTCTGACCATACTCGCATATTGCAAGAGGTGAGGCCACTGCCCAGGTCCTCAACACCCACCCCCCTCAGCTCAAAGTCTTAAACGTCATACACCTGAATCTTGCAACCCTAAAGGGATCATCCTCATCTCGAAACACTCGCGAACCCTTACCACTTGTTGAACCTCAGTTTCAGGAGCCCTCTAGCTTAACTAAGAAAGTCCTTTGCCCTGAACTGAACCAGAAGATGGTTCGTCAAGAGTGCTGCGTTACTGCCATCGCTTTTCCTTCCAGTCATTGCCCTAGTGCGGAGCTAGTCGTACTATACCGGGCTATCATAGGTTTCGCGGTATGGGATCTAGTATGGTTAGGAGCACTGTGCCTTAGTAGCTATACTCAACATGAGGGTCATGCTTCGGACCCGAAGACACCAGCCTTCTGTGCAGCAATCTCGACCTCCAGGGATTGCGTTTTGGGCCTCGGGGTGCGTTTAGGGTATAGGGTATAGGCCTACTACTCAGAAGTCGTGGTGGCTCCATGCCACGGATTGTTTGTGGGAGCCACATGGTAAAATACGACTATCTTGCAAACACGTCTGACTGCATATGGGTGGTTCTCTGGCTCGGCATGTAAAATAGCGCTGCTGCACAGCCCCGAAAACTTAACCTTAAGCCCTAACACCCCTAAACCCTTAACCTTAAGCCCTAATACCCCTAAACCCTAAACCTTAAGCCCTAATACCCCTAAGCCTTAAACCTTAAGCCCTAATACGCCTAAGCCCGCAACGATCCAAGGACCTACTGCTTCGATGGCACCTCAAACGCTCACCGAGCTTATCAGGCGGGTTTAGGGTTTAGGGGCTGTCGTTTTAGGGTTAAGGGTTAAGGGTTTAGGGTTTACCGAATAACCTACCTTTTTTGGGATTTATGAAAGGAAATCATCATAATGGAACCCTAAAAAGGTAGCTTATCCAGGGTTAAGGTAGGCGCTGTCGTTTTAAAGTGTTGGGTAGTGGTTTAGAGTCTATCCAGTGTTTCGGGTTTATAACTTGTGCCTCTGTCTGTCTGTGTGTGTGTGTGTGTGTGTGTCTGCGCTTTTATGATGGGTTTCAGGGCTTGGTGTGCTGGATCCAGGGATCTGGACTTATTAGACATCTCATCCCCCCACACCCCCAACCCAGACCGTTCACCCCGCATTTCGCGGAAGCCAAGACACTTTCAGCACGTGGCCTGACATACGGGAATTTCCGAAAATAGGGGACCCTAACCTATATAGTACCCTGAATAGTAGGATCCTTGTTATAAGGAGCCCCAAATAAGGTACCCCCTAACTTTCGGAAACTCCCATACTGCCCAACCTGCATCCTCAACCCTTCCTGCACCTGAGTCTGAAGCGTTTTCAAGCTTTGTCACTTCATACCTTCAATCGGGTGGTTGTCAAAATTATGGTCCCTTTTGGGGTACCCTAAATCATAGGAGCCGTATTATATTAAGGAACCAAAAAGGGACCCTAATTTTGACAAAAACCGAGGTCCTTAACCCTTAACCCTGAGCTGACCCCAATCCGTAGACCGCAAAAGAAGCCCTGAACCTCATACTTTCAGCTGCGCTCTTCCTCTTTAAAGTCTTGAGCCTTCGGAAGATGCAAGACTTGCCTGAAGCCGAGAAGCCATAAAGCCGACAATAGAAGCCCAAGTAAGCAATTACCTATATTTTGCCCTGGGATTCTTTATTCGGGCCCGAAAGCCAATGTCCTTGAGGGGCCGGTGCTACCTTCCAGCGGCCCCTGGAAAGCACCCCTCTGTTCGGAGGTGGAGGACGTGGGGCTGTCAGTATGGGGGGTTTTGGGTTTTCTTAGAACTTATATAGGGTTTATAAGTTTAGGTGTTTAGGGGTTAGGGTTTCGGGGTTTAGGGGTTAGTTTAGGTGTTTAGGGGTTAGGATTTAGGGGTTTCTAGGGTTTAGGGGTTTGGTTTAAGGGGGTAGGGTTTTGGGTTTAAGGGTTTAGGGATTACCAGCACACCCACCCCAACTACCCTGTATGATACCCTAAATACCCAGTATTAAGGAGAATACGGCTCTACTAAAGGGTGGGGTGGGTGCTGGTAGGGGGTTAGGGTTTAGGGGTGTATAGGGTTGAGGGGGCTTGACGGAGTAAAGTAGGGCTTCCATTTCATAGAGCTTCTTTAAGGGTTCCTAGATGATTTTTCTGCATGCGTTGAGTGTGTGGCGGGCCTTTGTAAGCTAAAGAGTATTTGTTTGTGGGTTTTAATTCCTTACAAGGGCTGTACCGGCCTTGAGTATAGGTGCCCGTGTACGTACTGGCGCTTATCCGGGCGAGGGCGCCCGAGAGCTTGGAGGCTTTGTGGGGAGTTTCCGCAAATAGGGTACCTTAAATAGTAGGATCCCAATTATAAGGACCCCAGCACAAGGTACGCCTACTGTACTTTTCGGGAACTCTAAACCCTTATAGAGCCGTTTAAAGGAACCCTGAAAATACCCTTATAGTAACCCCTTACAATGTACCCCTGTTGTTCGGAAACTCCCTAACCCTAAGGGTCCAAGTGCTTAATAATCATATACTTTTCTAAATCCTATCCTAAACCCAAGTACCTCACTATAGGGTCCTTTGGACCCTTAGGGGTAAACCCTAAGCCCTAAACCCTAAACCATAATGGTCCGAGTCACTTAAGGTTCAAGTCCTAAGAGCCTCCAGCCGGATCCGTGGCCCAAACTCCCTAACCCAGACCTGCAGGGTCCCTTTAAGAGAGCCCTTATGCTCCTTAATAGTGGTATTTAGCGTATATTAGAGGGTAGTTGGGGGGGTCTAGGAATCTACTTGACATTATAGCAGGACCTTTAAGATGATGTAAGGTAGAGTCCTTCGTTAAGAGATTTTGGAAGGTCTGGGAACCCCAAACCAGAAATTGTTGACCGTGGACAAGGAGCCCGACCATAAAACGACAGGGGCTCTTACAATGGAGGGCTACAAGTTTCAACGCGCAAGTAGGCGCAGCAGACGTGTCGAGTGACTCGAATGCTGAGATGCGTGTTTGTGTTCGAGTTGACCCGACAAAGGTTTGAGGTGGGGCAGGTGTTAGGACATCGAAAACTTCTGTGGCCAAAGAGAGTCAGGGCGCTGCATCTGGGTTACAGCATAGAAAGACCCCGGGAACCGATGCCTTAAACCTACATGCACCCTGCACCCTAAACTGAAAAAACCCAAACCGCCTAAACCCAGAAAAGATTGGCCGTAGAGTACTGTAACTTAATCCCAAAGGGTCCAAGTATCATTATGGTATATACTTATTATAGATCCCCAAACTACCCCATAAGTATATACCATAGTGATAGTTGGACCCTTTGGGCTTTTGGAAGAAAAGACCAGAGGGCCTCAATACAAGATGCACGCATCAAAGACTCGTGTGTGCGCAAGAAGCGCAAAAAGAGCGCAATGGCGGCCGCAAGGGCCGTCACTTATCGGAATAATAATAATAATAATAGTAATAATAATAATAATAAAGATCAGCCTCATATAGACATAGATACACATACCAACATACATACATCTATACAATACATGCATATCATACATGTCCAGCCTCCGATTCGTTGGAGGGTCAATGGCTCAGGCTTGAGCGCTTCGCAACAGGGAGGATGGCAGAAATCGTTGCCTGCAAGCCCTCCACCATAAGCCCTAAAGCTCATGCCAGAAAAGGCACCTGAAGCAACAATGACGAATACTACCAATTATACTAATATTAATTGTTTCAGTTCAAATTAAATACTATGTGTCCTTATTGCATAAATCACTACCAAATAAGTATCTAAATCCTGTACCCCAACCAAACCTTACACCCCGACACCTCAACTCCAAGGCTGAGACGTTGAAAAAAAGAACCTAAACCCTACACCCTAAAGGTTAAACCCTAAACCCCAAACCGTTGCGGGACGGAAAAAGGCTCTCAAAAACAAACCCTTAAAAAAAAAAAACTAAACCCATTATTTCCTAGAAGCCTCTGTCGGCCAGGAGAATGCGAACTTGCCAAGGGAGCCTCGGCAATCCCAAAGGGTTGTGAGCTAGTAGAGTGTAGATCTTCAATACATTGTTGTCATAATCCGTACTATATTACAGAGTTTCGATAATATAGCAGGGATTATGATTGTGGCTTGAATACGCTAGGAATTGTGATCATTGCTTGGGTGCAGTAGGGGTTATGTCAATGATGTGTGCAAGTCTTCCCCAAAAGGTACTTGGGACCCTATGCCCATGATTTTGCTTCTGAGAGTCGCCCTAGGAGTTGAGGGTCTCAGGCTGTGCTGTCATGTGTTTTTTTGTGGGCACTAGAGGGTTTCATAGGCTTTATACTTGGAGATTCATGGGTAGTTATAAGTGGGGTTACAAGTAGGTAGCTATACTTAAACCTCATATTATGGGACTTACAACCCTACATATAACTACCCATGAACCTCCAAGTAGGCACAAGTTATTAAGTAGTACGGGAGGAGCAGGAGCATTGGGCGGTAAGGAATCCCCCTAGCAAAGAGCATGCATCGGTAGTAGCTGATCAGCAGTCGCTGTCGTCCAGGCAGCAGCGGGCCTCAACCTCAAGCCGATTTAGGCCCCATAGCAGTTCCTTTTTGGGGTTCATATGTAGAATCCTAGTCCCAGAAAGGAACTACCATGGAGCCTCGGGTTAAGGCTCTCGCCCTCAGGTTGCTATTCATGCCACGACCTCGTTAACAGCGAGCTCTCGTCGCATCCTCAGTGATCTGCAGAGCACCTTCGTGTGGGGGGGTTAGGGTCTAGGGGTATAGGGTTAAGGTTTTTGGGTTTAGGGGTTCTGATTTTGGTGTCTGGCCTGAACAGTTAGTATTTAAGACTCCCTTCTTTGTACTATTGAGAATCCCTTTGGTTCTTGTATAGCTTATATACAGTACGCCTCGAAGCGTTGTTCAGGCCTGCGGTAGACACTGCTTCCATGAGTTTTCGATTGTGGAGAATCGTGCGGGTGCTTCTTGAGAAAGTTAATGCTTAAGCTTTCGAAGATAGGGGCCCTAATAGTCAACAGGGCCTGGGGCTATGTTGTAGTATACTGTATTTTTTTAAAATCAAGGAAACCCTAGTTCGAATCGCATCGGGAAATTATGCCGGCTGCTACATTGTGCACGAGTGCATGTTGTTTTCTCGCAGAATTCATACCTCGAGCATGTTCAGTCGGGAAGCTCTACCGCTCACGCATGGAAGGTCGATGCCATGAACGCCCTGGTCTGCAGGGGTTTTAGGGTCAGTCTGTTCAAGGCTTCACCGCCGGAGTTTAATCCCGGTGCTACCTTGCCCCCTGGTACCCGAACCGAACTACACCCTAGACCCTATAGCCCTACTTGGAGGATCATGGGACTTAGTAAGTAAGATTATAAGTACCTTAACTGGGGTTATAAGTAGTTGTTATAAATTTTACTTACCCTAATTATCACCCTAGTTACTAAGTCCCATGATCCTTTAAGTAGTAACCATCGTACGCAGACCCCACCCCACCGGAAAGGTGAGTGGGCTTCCTGGGTTCAATCCTCTTTGGGACCTGGTCGGTTCGTGCGATGAGGTCTCCCATCTCGTTCGCTTGACCTTGTCTTCATCGACGGGGCACACGACTACGACAACGTCAAGAAGGACTCATGCAGTAGGGTTACTATGTGGGACGGCAGGCTTAGTCGCAGTGTTCTCCCTGCTTCAACTGTGGGATGAAGCCCTTCAGAAGCTCCTGTCGGGTGCCGTAAGTGCAGGGGCCTCGGTTCTCTAGCCAACTTCAGCCCCAAAGCATAGGATGGAGGTGTGATTCTAGGTTTAGGGTTCGGGGTTTAGGCTCCTAATGGTACCCTCTTGCCTTTTTTTATTTGGTAGTTTGGCAATGTAGAGGCATGTAGAGGCTTACACGTTAGAATGCGACTTTGGGTACATTGTCCTATGATTACTGGAACCGAGAGGAAGGTACCGAGGGCACTAGCTCAGGCTTCTTCATTGGGCGGCATCGAGTTTAAACTGTTGTTTAGCTTCCTTAACTTTTAACGTCTCCCGCTGGTTGAAGTGCGATGTCTTCGGTTCAGGTTTCACCGCCGTCACTTTTCAGGATCCCAATGTTCAATCTTCATACTTCGACCCAAGAAACCTTAAACCCTAAACCCTGAACCCTAAACCCCAAACCCTGAACCCTAAACCCTGAACCCTGAACCCCAAATCCCAAACCCTAAACCCTAAACCCTAAACCCTGAACCCCAAACCCTGAACCCCAAACCCTGAACCTTAAACCCTAAACCCTAAACCCTGAACCCCAAATCCCAAACCCTAAACCCCAAACCCTAAACCCTAAACCCTGAACCCCAAACCCCAAACCCTGAACCCTAAACACTAAGAGTTCTTTGCATTTCTTGCTCGTCCTTCGCTCGTCGCCCAGGGGCTCGGCTGAGCAGTGAACCCCGCTCTGGCTTCCAGCTCTTAGGGTGCAAGGGTTGAAGGTTCCGGGTTCAGGGTTTAGGATTTAGGGTTGAAGGTTCAGGGTTTAGGGTTAAAGGTTCAGGGTTTAGGGTTGAAGGTTCAGGGTTTAGGGTTGCAATTTTTGATTTAGGGTTGGAATCATCGCGCAAGCATCCGCACGCATGAAAGCCAAAAACCATCCCATGTAGTTGCTTTAACTTATAGACCCTAAACATACTCGCATGAAGATGTCGCGGTCGGCATGGGCTGCGTGAGCTGGCGTGGACGGTCGAGGGCTGGGACATTAATCCTGGTTGCTATCCTTTCCATCTTCGTCGGGAAGGCTGCAGCATCGGTTACCCAGAGACTCCAATATCCCTTAATTAAGGAATATTCCTTAAATCATACTAGGGATCCTACTATCATGTAAGGTATATTCCTTAATTAAAGGATATTGGAGTCTCTGGGTACTACATCAGGGTTACAATCAGGGCTAGGTTACTTTTTCAGGGTCACAGTAAGGGTTCGGTAGGGGTGCAGTGCAAGGCACTTCTGTTTTGGTTTTGAGAAGGAGTTGGGAGTGCTCAGGGCTCGAGCTTATGGGATGAAGGTGTTTGGGTGTCTCAGGTTTCAAGGAGAGTCTACGTAGGCCGTCGGTGGTGCAGCATGGTTTAGGGTTTATCTAGATCTTCAAGCAAGCTTTTGCCGTGTGGACTCGACGTGCCCATCCTGCATTCGCGTGCAAAAGGGACTTGAACAATTACTGCCATGATTCCTCACGGTTCCTGAACAAAATAAGTCTGTGATTTTACTCTAATATCCCCCAAACCCGATTGAACATATGGCCTCTAAAAGCAGAGGTTTCGAAAAGGTTTCGAGAAGCACTCATAGGTCGAAGAAACCTTAGACGAAGCCTATTTCAATTATCACGGCGCAAGTAAGAGCCCTCTTTTCAGGGCTGGGGGATCAGGCTTCGGGTGTGGCGTGCGACTTTGTTTGTTCTGATCTCAGATTGGTGTAAACCCCACAGTGTTTGGGGTCGAGGGTTTGAGTTTGGGCATGATGGAATAGGGCTTGAGAAACCTGAAATCTCTGGTTACCCGAGCCGCCCAACATCATTTCGGTTTCCTCAGAACTCACGTGCTGATATTGAGGCCTCGATGTCACATGGGTAGTTCTCAAAACCGGGATCCCTTGCTATCCAAATTTAGAGAAGTATCCACATGCCTTCGAAGCGGCCCATTCTCCAGAAACAACGGTGCAGTGATGATGGGGAGAGTAAGAAACAAAGAAATAATAAGAGCCAGAATCAGAGCAATAACAGCAATAACATAAGAATAAGATAAAGGTTAAAAATTAAGAAGCAACAAAGATACTATATAATAAGATAAACAGAGCAAACAAGACGATTCCAATATTGATTGTCAAAATTAGGACCCCTTTTACTTTTTGTGTCCCTAATATAGTACGGAACCTTATATTTAGGATACCCAAAAAGGGACCCTAATTTTGATAAACCCCACACGGACAGGTCGCCTTCGTCCCGGAGATGTCAAAGTCTTGCAGCTCCTGGAAAAGCCAGCGTGGAGCTCACTGGACGCGCTCCTCGAAGCCAGTCTTGGTGGCCGTGAACCAAAGTCGCTTGCCTCGATCACTTCGAGTTTGGGGGTTTTACGACTAGGCCCTACCTGTGGCCGAAAAGACCTACCCCTTTAAGGAATTATATATAGAAACCCGAAGAAGGAATCCAAATTTGGTAGGCCTTTCCGGCTACGGGTCAGCGTAGAATTGATGGCCTCAAGGTCAGAGTTTTTAGGGTTCAGGCTTAGGAGCTTAGGCTCACAGGGCTGCGGGTTTCGGGTCGAGGGTCTAGGGTTTAGGGTTTACGGCTTAGGGCCGAGGGTTTAGTGTTTAGGGTGTAGGGTTGAGGGCTCAAGGTCATGGCTTCCCGGGTTTCAGGTGCTGCTGTTGGCACTAAGCCCAAGTCTTCGGTTTTGATCAGACGTCAGGGATGTAAAGTCTTGCTGGTGTCTCCGGGTTAAGGTCTGATAATAAGCGCCAAAGACTCTACACCTTGTAAATCTAAACCCTAAGCCCCAAACTCTGCACTTAGGGTGAAATCGGGGGTGCTTTGTGCAGGTGTCCTTCGTTTACGGGCGGGAAGGAACGAATAAGAGGTACTTGAATCATATTGCAAGCAATCTGTTATAGTGAGACAGAATCCAACGACATGACAAGCCCTAAACCTTCCTTTGGAGTTTGCTGTTGCTTGTGTTGCACGCCCGGCGTTAGAAGCTTTCTTTTGAGTTCCAGCTGAAAGCATTGCACCTCCAGGGAGCACGAGATACTGCGATAATCGCTAGTGTCGTCCCCAGAGCCAGGCTGGAAAGACCTTGCACCCTAGATCTTAGACTAAACTAGATGATCGGATTCCAAGAAATGGCTGTGAACCCCAAACCCTAGAATCTTGCATCCTGGTGTCAACAGCAAAGTTCACCGAAGCACAAAGTCCTAACCGCCACATACATCCCAAACTCAATCCAAGAAGACACCTGGACACTAAACTGTGAACCCCTTACAAGATAAGCAACGTCCTACACCCGGCAAGCAAACGCACTCAGAGCCAGAACATAAACAGTCCTAAATCTCAACGAAAGCTTAAGAATCTGTAAACCCCCTTAAACCATAGTGCCACAGGAGCCTCCCCTCACCCAAATTGAGAGGACCCTTGGACCTCCAATTCCCGAAAAAAGGCAAACCGCAGCCTCGAAACCACGGTTTAGGGTTTAGGGTTTAGGTTTTGGGGTTTAGGGTTTAGGTTTTGGGGTTTAGGGTTGAGGTTTTGGGGTTTAGGCTTTAGGTCCATCGCCACTTCCCCACCCTCCTCTCACAGAAGAGACGTCCGGCAGGCCCGACGAATTCGAAGCTTCATCGCATGGCCTCAATCGCCAGCACCTCCAGTGACAGCCAAGCCGGGATGTGACTGGGACCGGAAATTTCGCTTAAACTCCAAACCCTTAAACCCCAAACCGTAAACCTCTAGCCCTAAACCGAGACATTAGGGTGTCAGTTTAGGGTCTTTGCGCAGAGGACGGGGACTAAAGCACCTATGTAGCCACTATCTCTCAGGGTCCTTAGGGTCCAAGTAGCTAACAATCATATATGCTCTCCCAAACAGTAACCTACGCATAACTACTATCCGAAACCATTGGGTCGTTTGGACCCTATGAACCCTACCGTTATTGGGGGATAAGGTAAGGGATATGTTTATGTCCTCGGTTGGCTTGGAGGGGGGATCGGGTTCCGGGAACTTGAGAGTCTTTGGATGCACGTGCTATACCCTGAACCCTATAAGCCCGAAACCGTAAGCCCTATATAAACCGTATCATGACTTTCATTCAATGAATCGCTTGCTTGATCGCCCTGGCATCGGCGATGCTGTCGAACAGCAGCAAGCCAGCACCGGATTTTGACTCAAGCACAAAATGCAAAGAATATCGACATAGAAACTCTAGAAACAACAAAGGGAAACGAACAAACAAACAAGCAAACACAGACAAAGTTTGCCAAGTGCGTGACAGCATGAGGTTTTGGGCCTAAAATCACTAATCAACCTTGTTAATCCAAGCCCGGTGGTTCTGGACCGGCACAACCTAACAGAAGTTCATCAAGGGGGGCAGCCTCCCCTCCCAGGCTGGAAGATTCGTAGGTCCTGTGCCCGAGACACTAGTTAGATTCGGGAACCCTCGTTGACAACCCAACGCGAAATCCCGTGCCCTGCTTGTCCTCAAACCAGACCCCACAAACTCTGCCGGAACTTGGCGTAAAAACTCCAATGGTCCTCGATATCTAACCCAAGCAGTCGTGTGCCAGGAGTGTCCCGGATGCTGCAGCGATCATCGCTGGGACCGCCCTTGGGGGTGGATTCCTAGCGCTTCCGAGTGTGACGGAACCATGGCTGGGATAAGCGCATGTTCTGAGCCAGGTTCTCTGATGCTAAGGTGGTTTAGAATTTAGGGCTTGAGGTGCGAGGTCCCTAGGTCCTTTCAAGCATTTTTAGCAAGCTCTTTGGTTGTGCACAAAGTTTCCCGGGCAATCAGCCCAAAGCTACAACTCGAATCCTTTCCAATTCCAACAAAGGCTCACTACAACAACCCACAAGAACCACACCGAACTAGTAGAAACTGGAAATGTCGCGGATGCCTCTTGGGCATCTGGAGTCCAGAGCTCTGGTTAGGGATAGGTGTCACGGTTTGGGGTTTAGGGTTTAATTAGGGTTTAGGTGTATAGGATTACATAGCTTGGACTACGCCCTAAAGCCTGAGCAGTCCCTACATGCAGTTCGGCTTCAAGTGGTTGCTTCTAGACAGTATGCATTTTTCGTGGTCCCATTTTTGACGACGCCTTTTTTTGCACACGATGGTCGCGCAGGCTTCTTGCATGAGTAACACGTCCGTTTCAGAAACCTTGATTCAAGACACAATCTTAGTGCCATTTAGCCGTAATATATCCTAAACCCCAACCTAAACCTTCTAGAATCCCTTCACGAACCCTTGGAACAGCCCTACGAAGGAACCCAACCTTACGCCCTTAACCCCAAACCCTAAACCGAAGCTAAGGCGCCTATGGGTGTGATGCCAGCCATCTTCGGTCTGATTGTGGTCTGGGCATTCCTTGCCGCAGTAGGCTTGGTGTATGCAGAGGCTTCAGCAGCTTGGATGAATACTTGGGTTGGCGCATATACGGTCTTGCATATTATACAAACACTAGTACACATGTCTATATATGTATATATGTGTATACGTATATGTTTCTAAGTATACATACATAGGGCTGAGTGGCATGCTTCATGGCTCTGAACACTAAACCCTAAAGCCCTATGCATGTTCGCAAGACAAGCCGCGATTCATCGGTTGAAGCAAGCAAGAGCGGTTTCGGTTTAGCGTTTGGTTTGGGGTTCAGGGTTTAGGGTTTAGCATTGTAGTTGAGCTGCAAAGGATCATGAGGCATTCGAGACCTTTAGAATCACTGGTGCAATTCAAATTCCCAAGCCCCAGAACTAGCCCGAGGTTTACACCTTGGCCGAAAAGGCCAAACTCATGGAAGATGCCGAGAAACCTACCGAGGACGCTCGACAATTGAATCGGGCTCCCCCAGGCAATGCTGATGGTTTAGAGTTGATTGACAAGGTCATTGCCTCTCTTGTCCTCAAACACCAGCAGTATCCCTTCCCGGGACGAGGCAGGGTGGTGTTACTGTTAAGACTGATGACCCCTAACAACTAAATATTCCGCAGGATTCCTGATCATAGTCATACCAACACATCACACAAACCACTATTCTAATCGTTGAGGCTCCATACTGCACCCGGAATCATTGAAGAATTGTAGAGACTGCTGGGTCTGGATTGAAAGTCTCATCAGGGAACACCGCGATGCAGCCTTCTGAAAGCAGCAAATCTGCGGTGCAGAGCTAGGACTATATCGAAGATGTTGCCACCTGTCCCGACTCCCAAAACCGTACCACTCCTCACTGAAAGCCACGAACCCTAACGCAGAAGACTTAAACACCAAATCTTGAACCCCTCAAACCCTGACCAAATTACTACCCGTTTAGCTCAGTCCAAGTCTTCCCAGATGCGCAGGAGGACCGCACGCTGATGCAAGATGAGGGCGTGTCTGTCTCCCGGAAGATTTTATCTTGATGTCGGCAGTCAGTAAGCTTTGTCAGCAGACCTAGGAAGGTCTCTGCATGAATGGCCGGTGATGTCTCCTCAACCCTAAACCCTACATAGAGCCCAAACCCTAAACCTTATAAACCTGTAAACCCTACAGAGCCTAAACTCTAAATCTTATAAACCCTAGACCCTGAACCCTACAGAGCCTAAACCCTGACAGCAGAGCTGCTGCGAACGGACCCGGTGTTCAAAACCCATCGTCTCCCCGATGGATCCCAAAGACTTACAAGGTCGAATTCAGCTGAGACCGTTGTAGTGAGGCCTACTTGGAGGATCATGGGACTTAGTAAGTATGGTTATAAGTACCTTAACTGGGGTTATAAGTAGTTATAAGCATAGTTACTTAAACTAAAACCCTAGTTGCTAAGTCCCATGATAAGTATGCTCTACTACGTGGAGCTTTGGGAAACTTGCTAATTCCCCCTTATGGTTCTATAGAGGTACCTTTGTCTTTGTGGGCAGTTGGAGGAGAGAACCCAGACTACCAATACCAGAAATCTGCGCCCCCGAACCTGAAGCGGCCCTGCATGGAAGATGATGGGACTCTGCATAATAAGGTCTACAATTAATTATCGAACAATTTTAGTGCCTCATCTATTACCCCATTTACCGAGTCCCATGCTTCTTCGTAAGTGGAAATGACTCTCTGTTGCGACAGGGACTCAGTGTCTCCTAGTCAGGAACATGTGATCCCGAACGGGGCTACGAGTAGCAGGCGTGCTAGCGCCCGGGGGACGGGAAGGCGATTCCGGTAAGGAGACGCCCCAGTGTCAAGCACCCTTCAACGCGGCTCAGCTTTAGGCATTATGACATGAACAGACTTTAAAACCCTAAACCATTAACCTCTTGGAGAAAGGGTGCGTCACCATAGGTTAAAAAAAACCCTTAACCTGGATCCGATTTTGCAGAGCTAGGTTGTCTCGGTGGCGCAGAGGGCCCTCGGCGACACGGCGGCTGTGATTTGCTCGCTCGCCTTTGCCTCTCAAATGCTGGCGGTGGTCACTGCCCAGGCGGTTGAGAAAGTGTGGTAGCCCTCGTAGTAAGGCTTCAGTAAGGGCTTCGGATTTACACAAACTCTTTTAGGGTGTTTATAAATCAACTCTGCACGGTATTTTTGTTGTGTCTCGCTCCATGTCTTTATACCCGATGAGGGCGTTACACCGCACACCCCATCACCATAGTCATAAACTATCAAAAACTCCGAGGATCATCCGTTCTTGTGGAAATATGGGTATGGGTTGTATTGTAAATTGCGATTAATCAAAGTTGTTTTGTTTGTTGCAGCTGGGCGTATCACGGTGTTTCTCAAACAATAAGACGGGAAGCAAGAATTCAGCTCGTAATAGAAAACTCGCAGAATTCACCTAAACCCCTGAACCTTACACCCAAAAGCAAAAAGACCCTGGACCCCTAAACCCAATGCCCCCAAGCCCTAAGCAAAACAGCCTCCCGCCATGAAGAGGTGGCCAAGTCCGGAGAGTTGGTCTCGACGCTCACGGGTCCGGCAGCCAAACTTTGGTTCGGTTTATGGGATTTTGAGGGTTTACCTGGACGCTACAATGTATAGGGTCCTATGAAAACTCCTTTTTTAGGGTCCCCGGTTGTGATTTCCTTATATCCGTCCTTAAAAAGGATATATTTTAGGGTTTACTTGGAAAATATGAGACCTTCTTGTTTCAGGTTCCCTGGTATGACTTCCTTGCAAAGTCCTTAAAAAGGGGCAGGATATCCGGGGTTCAGGTAGGACTTTAGGGGCTCGGGATTTTGGGTTTAGGGGTTCATTGGGGGTTTCAGGGATCTCGGTGGTTTAGGTGATTTAATGCTGAAGCATTGGGTTCAGGGCAGCACGGGGGGGATTTATCTGAGGCTAAAGCTTACTCTTATGTCCGGGTTTGTGATGTTAGGGTTTAGGGTTTAGGGTTTAGGGTTTTGGGTTTAGGGTTTAGGGTTTAGAACTCGGGACTTGGATTGTTTTGTGGTTATAGGGGCAAACCAGTGGCACATGATACTTGTGTAGGGGTGCCCATATCCTTGCCAACATGTTGACAGTGCATCCTACAGAGCTTAGATCGTGTGTTCCATTGGGCGATGTGGGAGTTTCCGAAAATGGGGGACCCTAATGTAGTACCCTAAATAGTAGGATCCTTATTATAAGAACCCCAAATAAGGTACCCCTCATTTTCGGAAACTCCCATGTTGTTGAATGGTATGCCAGCAGGCTTGCGGGCCTCAAGCTGTCTGTAAAGCCTAAAGTCGGGCAGCATCGTTTCGGGCCCCTGTAGTAGCCTTGTGATCAGCCTTACACCCTACACCCTAAACATGAAACCTTAGATTATTCCTATGGTCACCATAGACAGCATTATAAAGTCGGTCGGGAGCTCAAGGCGTCGTTTGTCGGCAGGTCTGCCATACATCGCGGGCTGCATCGTGCCAAGTGCATGCTGGGCTGCAATTACGTAGGGTTTGGAGACTCCAGAAGATGAGAGGTTTGGAAAATGATCCCCTCCCTTTTTGGTCCATGAGTAACTATATGATACTATATGACAGTATTGAGGCCCTGCATACTTGAAGGGCGCCAGGAGTGCCCTACTCTTGTGCAGACCAGTCCTGGCAAAGTAGCATTATGTGCTAATATGTCGGAATATTTCGTGTTGTTGCTATATTTCAGGCATTCGTTTTGCTTATGGTCTTGCTAGGATTTCGAAAATGGTTGTGAGTATATTTTCGTTTTCGATACGCGGACACGCACTGCTCTGCAAGTAGCTCGGCTGCAGGTCCCAAAACCATTTCAGTACCATAGCAAACACATGTCCAAACCAGTCCTGGAGGAGTGTGGAGACATATCAAAATCGTATCGAAATCACATCAAACCGCATCATAACCGTATGAAAGTCGTATCCAAATCCTATCGAAATCGTGCATTCTCAATGAATTCCATAAACAAAACTACCAATCAAAACGTCAGACAACCATGTAATCATAAAGCTTTCAGTGTGACAACATCCTCATACACTTACGGATGCATCAAACCATATCAAAACGATAAGTTAATCATAAAAATAGGTGTTCCTGGAATCTGCTGCTTCCCACGACTCTGAACATCACAACCCAACACCGAAGCGCATCTTGAACTCTGTTAACTTGCGTGGGGAGGTGGTGGAAGATCTCGTTGTCACTGCAGGTATTGGTGGGCCTTTTCGCTTTTGAGACGCCGCCCCGCATCGTGGAGCAGCGTGGCTTTCTTGTCTTGTATTTCACTTAGTAGTTTCAGAGTTTAGATGGCTTGGATTGTGTCACAATGACTTGCATGCAACTGCTTGTGGACTTGCGGTGGAGACTGCACAGAGAGCTATGGTCAAATACAAGAGGCTATATGCTATGCTGCTGTGCATAACTCTGCGGAAACCTCAGCATGTGTTTTCAGCTGACCTCGTTCCGTGGGTGTTAACGTCCGGGGCACGGTGGCTTGCATCAATATGACCAAGCTGTGCATGACCATGGCCGCCTCTGCATGACAGAGGGCCAAGCTTGATGTGCGCCCTGTCCGGGCGGGTACGCTCTAGCTTAGCTTCTAGATGCCTTGTGAGGAGAACAGCTTCGTCCTTCTACGTCCTCCTAAACCTTCAAGTCAAGAGCTGCATGAAAGGCCGCACAAGCTCAAAGCATGTGGCATGAGGCAGAGCAACACAGTGCTGGCCGCCACCATGGTGGGTGGCTTTCTCTTCCTGCTCCTGGGCAGAAAAAGCAGCGAGCCGCAAACCCTAGATCTCAGGTATATAACTCATAACCGCGACAACCCTAAACCCTAGAGGGGTTTAAACTGAATCAATGTCTTGAAGAGCCAGAATATTGTCAAGGAGCGTGCATCGCACGCTCCTTTGCCTCACGGGGCAATGGTTTTGCACGGCTTCAAGATGGAAATGTGTGGATTCTTGCGGACATGGCTCTATCCATGTTTTGACCTTCTCTATAGGGCACACAGGGGCACCTGGAGGCTCAAACCCTACCCGTTGTTTAGGATACCCAGTTTTATGGTTAGGATCTGTTGTGCAGAAAAGTAGATTACCCAAAAAAGGAGTAGGGTATGAGCCGACGTAAAGCTAAGGCTTTGGGTTTCGAAAGTGGATGAAAGTTTACAGGCGTCGGGATTGGGTCGAGGTCCCTCGGCTAGAATCCGATGTAAGAGCTCCACCAGAACCCTGAAGCATACATCCTACGTAGCATTAGGAGGCCCCTTGAAGGGACTTCTTAACCCTACTTCGGCCTTCCTTGAATACCACCTTATTCAGAGGGTCTATAGCCCCCTGATCCTAACTCCTAATACATGATCGAGCCTCCAACCTTGAAGCAGAAACTCGAAGCCGTGAGCCTGGCGACCCAGAGCCCATTTTCGATATCAAAAGTCCGGAAGGTTCCGTTTTGAATAGAGGACATTGATGCCTGGACAGTGTACATCCTGCATGCCCCCATGCTTGTATCTTGATTTCTTGATTCTAGATCCGAGTCAGCTCGAGGATCGTCAGCACTGTGGGTGCCAATTTGGCGCAGTTGCCGGCGGCGCTGCGGCTTGGACCAGCGTCAGGGACTCCTCTCGTGAAGTATATAGAAAGCTCTACGGCCTCTGCGGGCTCTTGGGGCATTTAGGGGTCCTGAACTTAAAGCCGGAACTCCCATACCCTAAACTTTAAACCTTGAGCCGTAAAAAATATACCTCAAAACTTGCAGTTTTGGGGCTAGCTTCTTGAGTTCCTACTTGAAAAACCTTAGACCGTAAACCCCTAAACCCCTAAACCGTCTTTTTCCTACTCACTCGGGCTAGCTCAGTCCTCAGCCTCCTCTGGCCAACTCCATCAAGTTATCAGAGGAACGATCACGGTACCCTAAAGCCCAAAAGTAGTTCCGTTTTGGGATTCATATGTAGAATCCTATAAGGCAATCCCAAAAAGGAACTACTATGGGGCCTTAGGTTAGTAAGTGCGGGAGTCGGAATACTTAGCAAGATTGTCCGCTTGTATATAAGAGTTCTTCTGAATCTTCTACAGTAAGTTATGATATTTTACGAAATCCATCAAAGTTCTATTCGAGCTATTCAGGCCCCTAGGTTGGCAACTGTCATGGCCGTAGTACTGACAAGAGATTGTGCTTCTGTTCTCCGCCATCTTGTTGCAGCTGAATACGTTTCTGTCGGCCGCCACACTTAAGCCCTAAACTCTAAACCCTAAACTCTAAACTAAACCCTAAACCCTACAGTAAATTTTTTTCAGAGGGCATGAGGATCCCTGTGGATGGACCATGCAGCCTCTCAGCCTCAAAAATCGAAAACTTAGATCTCTGACCTCACGCCCACAATAATCAGCTAATGTCCCCTTGCAGTCTCTAGTATCGTAGTATCGTAGAGCAAAGACCCAAAGCCCTGTTCTAGGTTTGGGGCTTGTATCAGGCAGTGACATGATACAGTTAGTGGCCAGCGACATGATGGGTACTTGTGTTTGCAGTCGTGGTAGTTCTTGCCAGTGGTATGGTTTCCCCATGCTTAAATGTAGCTAGTCCATATGGAAGTTTCCGAAAATTAGGGGTACCTTATTCTGAGATTCTTATAATAATAAAGATCCTACTATGTAGGGTACCATATCAGGGTCCCCTATTTTCGGAAAGCCCCCGTATAAAGCCCAGACCCACGTAAGCCCTTGTATAGAGGCCTTCGGCCTTGGGCTTCGGCAGGAAGAGAACACTTCTAATAAAGGGGCCTCGATAATTGGAATAGGGCTTTGAACTCTTCCCAAGAACCCTCGCTGTGGCCCGATGGAACTCTCCTGCCACACGCCCCTCCCCACATACCCACACACACGCGCACACTCACAACAAACAGATGCGAGCACCAGACAAATTCCCTCTTAAAGCACTTACGGCGATTGCTCGCCCAAGGTCGGCACTCCCGCCTGCCGACTGGGGACTGCTCATTCCCGCACTTCGCTCACCAGTTTTGTTGCTTGTTATTGGGTGGCTTGTGTTTCTTGGTGACCCGATGTTGAGGTGTGGGGCTTGGGGGTTCGTGGGGCTTGAGGTCTGGGATTTTGGCCATTGCAGCGATTTTTTCATTCACGCTTCTTCGATGTGCGCAGGAACTCATGTTGCGATCAGGTTTACAAGTTCTTTCGGTCAGAGGCTGCAGCTTGAAAACCTACCTAGCACAAGGCTTGAACATTGCCAATCGCACTCCTCAGGGTTCCTTATTCCAAACTATCTTTTATAAACACTCATTAAGGCTCCTATTTGGGACAACGCTGACCACCTTAGGACCATGGTGTGGGATTGAGGATTAGGCTATGGGGACCGGTCTCAAGCAGTGGGACTGTTATTTCAGCAATGAAAAGCATCAAAGGCACACCATAAATGGTACTTGGCGAGGGCTCTTACGCGGCGGGGTTGTTGTTCAAGATCCTGGGTTTGGAGTGCGGAAATTTCGGGCGACAGGGCCCTCAACCCCAAACCCTAAACCCTAAAGCCCACCCCCAAACAAAAAAAGCAAAACCCTAAACCCCTAAACCCTAAACCCTAAAGCCACCCCCCCAAGAAAAGAACAAAAAAACACACAAGAACAAATCCTAAACTCTAAACCCTAAACCGAAAGCTGGTGCGTTCAGAGCCCTTTGAACAAACTGCACTTCAGAGGCTGGTCTCGTGCGAAACGTCCCTAGAGCTCCTTCTTATCATTACTGCTCTTCTTGTTGGCTTTTTTAAGTACCATTGAAGGGAACTCCAGAAAGTTGGAATATGGATTAATGGTAGGATCCCCTATAATTTACCGTAAAGGGGTTACGATAATGATATTCCAACTTTCTGGCTTCTACTGTATTGGCAACTGTCATTATTGTTACGATACTCTTGTTAGGCTTATATGTTAGTAGTACTATCACTATCATCTTCAGTATTGTTCGTACTAGTACTCCTTACTACTATTCCGTACTAGACTTCTTTTTACTACACAGGGCCCCAAAACTCCATTGCTTGGAGGATCATGGGATTTGGTAAATAAGGCTATAAGTACCCTAATTGGGGTTATAAGTAGGTATCAGCTAGTATAGTTACCCTAAGTATAACCCTAGTTACTAAGTCCCATGATCCTTTAAGTAGACCCTAAACCCTAAACCTTATAGATAGTGCAGGCCGGCAAACGGCTTGACCTCTGCGGAAAAAGGCCCCATTGCACTAAAAAAAATCCTTATAGATCCCTTTAAGGAACCCCTATAGATCCCCTTTAAAGGAGCCCTTAAAGGAACCCTAGTTACTAAGTCCCATGATCCTTTAAGTACCCCCCCCAAACCCAGATAGAACCTTTGATAGTAACCCTTATAGATCCCTTAAAGGACCTTTAGGTAGCTACTATTTGCTTAAGAACCTCCAAAAATGAAAAAAAAATCCTTATGGGGGTAATATAGGGATTATTATTTTTATTTTTTGGGTGTTTCTTAAGCAAATAGTAGGTAGGGTTTACAGGCCCTGGTTACTTCAAAGCCCAGCTGAGGCCGCCTCATCGACCTGGGCGTTGCCAATCTTCTTCAACCTCCTTTGTTTCGGGTCCCTTGGATCTTTGGGTTTTGGGGTTTCAGGGTTTAGCGGTTTTATGGGATTTGGGGTTTTGGGTTTTTTGGGTTTTGTGTTTTTTGGGGTTTAGGGTTTTGGGGTTTAAGGTTCAAGGTTGTTCAACCTCTTTTTACTGTTGTTTCGGGTGTCTTGGCCCTTGTGCAGGGCTCTATAGGATCCTTAAGGGGGGTGGTTCAAGGGGGGAGGGTACTAGGGAGCTTTGGGGAACCTTAGGGAAGCTTAGGGAGTATTGGGGAATAATGGGGATTACTAGGTTACCTACCCCCCTTGGACCACCCCCCCTTAAGGACATCCTAAGGGCTCGCAGGTCTGGGCTTCGGTGTGGGCTTTACGGAGGGTTTTAAACCTCCGGGTGCCGATCTGAGGATGTGGGTTTGTGATGATTACGAGAGTTTAGGACTTTCTGTTACGGGTTTAGGGTTTAGGGTTTAGGGTTTAGGGTTCATTGTCGAAGGTTGTGCATGCGTTCAGGGACTGCAAAAGACGAGCTCGTCCGCGGCAATCTCTGACACCAAACGCAGTGTCCTGAATGACGATCATTTCCCCCGAGGGCTTCCGCTACTGCAACTTTGCGAAAACATTCCCCAAAAACCCTATACAGACTAAAAAGTATGGCCCCGATATGACTTGTTTATAGATGCCGGCATCAGGGCAAAGTATGATCGCCCGAGACTGGGGATAGCAAATAGACAGCGCACGTTTACATTCCCGCACTCTTTCTCGTACTCATTGTAAGTCTCTTCTGTCTTTCAGTATCCCGACCCCCCCCCCCGCCCAACTACCCTCTAACTTACCCTAACTACCCACTGTTAGGGACTATAAGACCATAATGGCTCTATTAACAGGCCCTTGGGGGGGTCCTGGTCATGTCCTACACCTAACATGTTTGCATCCTAACTGTCCCTGGCGCACGCTGCTAGTTCGAGTGTACACACACGCGCTCTTAAGTTCGCCTGTACTTCCCATTTGGGAGTATCACAAAATAGGGGACCCTAATATAGTACCCTAACTAGTAGGATTCTTATACCCCGAATTTTCGGAACCCCCATTTAAGCCGTGAGATGGGAACAAAAGCCCGAAGCCGTGAATGCAAAAGGTGTGGGCTTCCTCGTTTTTGGTGATGATCGTATACCATCTGCGAAGAAGTGCTTTTAGACCCAGATTGGAACAGCAGAGCTTTTCTTCAGTATTTTCGGCCCCTAAAGTTATGGATGAGTTCGACTCAGGCAGTCCATTCCGCTGGTGGTTGAGCGGATGGGTCCCAACAACACCGGCAAGGCTCCATGGCTGTCACAGCCGCTAGCCATGCTCACAAGCCGCCTATACAGATGCAAGGTCAATAAAAAGTTTAGGGTCTAGGGTACAGGGTTTAGGGTACAGGGCTTAGGGTTTTAGGGTTTAGGGTGGTTGTATGAGTAAAAAAGTAGCAACAGCACTCACAGCTGTCGTAGCTATAGTTAGCGAGCGTTGGCCAATGTCCGCTCACGGTTAGTTGGCAAAGCAGCAAGCAAGCAGTTAGACACAGAGTCTTGACTATGGGCCCTACACTCTAAGCAAACTCTCGACCGACACCCCCCACACATTTTCGGCAAAACACGGGACTTGGGGAACAGTCAGGGCGCGACGTAGCAGCTGCTTGCATGATGGCTTCCGGAGTTGAGTACGACTGCCTTCTGCTTACTTTTATTGAATTTGGTATCGAGGTGCCTCTTAGCGGCATGAAGATCCCGTGCCAAGCGGTCGTAATTTCGATTCTACTTCGAGCATGGTCAGTAGCATGTGAGTCCTGGCTAGAGACTTAGGTCGCCAGAACCCATCAATGTTTCAACTCTAAGCTGTCCTTGTCTAATCATGCCTCGCAACCTGCATTGCTGGTCTGGCCTGAGTCTTCATTGCTGATGTGATCGGTTTATGATGGAAAACATGATCTACATTCCCCTCCGTCCCCAATTTGTTTCTTGTTCTTATTCGTCACAGAGAATATGCGCAAGTAAGTGCAAGTCTACCCCTATACCCTAAACCCTAAACCCTAACCCTTACGCAACGTTGTTGCACAGTAAAGCCGATCCCTGGAAGGTGCGCAATGCGATCCTCCTCGGCTCGAGCACCCTTGCGATGGACTTCATCCTTAACCTTAAACCCTACCAGGGACCCCCCAAGGGCCCTTTAACCTTTAATGGGTTTAGGGTAGAGCCCTTATGGTCCCAATTCGTGGGCATTTAGGGTATATTAGAGGGATCGTTTTTGGGGTGTCGGGAAAGTTGCAGGTAGTATCTCGTCTATATAGTCCCCACTACGGTGAAAGTCTGGTAGGCTCCAAGACCGAATTCTGATTACAAATGCCCCTCTGGTAGCGCCTCGGGCTTTGTCTCTTCGAGTACGAGGGAGATTTAGGCAAGATCTTGGTGCCAAAGGGTTGTAGGTACTGTTATGGGGGGATACCTTCCCAAACTAATTCCTACCATAGGCTTTGGAAATTAGGGCTTTAAGGTTTGGGGTTTAGGGTCTAGTGTGGTTTAGGAAGCCCGCAGCTAGTCCCGACTACTTTTGGGAGTCTCAAGCACCAGATCGAGCCTGTTCCTGCCTCGACGCGTCTTGCTGAAGTCGGGAGTTTCCGAAAATAGGGGTACCTTATTTAGGGGTCCTTGTTTTAAGAATCCTACTATTCAGGGTTCGACATTAGGGTGCCCCATAGTTACTCTTCGGCCCCTGTACCACGCCCTGCCTGCCTCCTCAACATCTCTTACTCAAACTTCTAAACCCAGTGGGAAGACAAGCTTGGTGCCTAAACTTCTAGAGCCCGAAACTTCTCAGCAATCTTCCACAGACCTTGCATTAGAATGTGGTAACTGGTAGGACCCTGTTTTGGGTACCGTAGTTTCTTCGTCTTCTCGGCTCCTAGCCCTGAAGTAAGGTATCTTGACAAGTATCACAGTCTAGAATCCAGGTAAAGCCCAAACACTGAACCTTCAACCTTCAACTTGAGCCCTCAATCGTAAGCCTCCTAAGCCCTACCCTTAACCCTGAATAACCTGCCTTTTTAGGGTTCCTGACTATGATTTCCTTGTCGAATTCCTTAGAAATGTAGGTTATTCCGGGTTAAGGTGAACTGTGAGACCGAAACCGTAAGCACCATTGGAGCTCTCCAGCTGTACTGCAGCTGGAAAAAGGTCCTCAAAAAAAACCCGTAAGCACCAGCCCCTAGACCGCTGAGGCGTGCCGCTCCTCATGGGCATGGCTTGGGTGGTGGTGGCGGCACTCCTCGGTTCAAGCTTGTGACTCGCTCTTATAGGGTTTAGGGGATAGGGTTGCAGGCTAGGGGTATAGGATCGCCCTTATAGGGTTTAGGGGGTAGGGTAGGCTAGGGATATAGGCTATAGGATTACTCGCTCTTATAGGGTTTAGGGGATAGGGTTGCAGGCTAGGGGTATAGGATTGGTTGTTTGGGCTTTGGGGCTTATAGGGTAGAGGAGTAGTGTTTAGAGTTTGGGGTTCAGGGTTTAGGGTTTGTTTGGAGGTTTGCGTGTGGGGCTTCGGCTTCAGAATAACCCTCGAGCCGAAATCCTAAACCCTTACTTGGAGGTTCATGGCTAGTTATAATTGGGACTAATTATAAGTAGGGCAAGTATACTTATAACTTATAACTCATATTACGGGACTTATAACCCTACTTACAACTACCCATCAACCTCTGTGTTTTTAGTGTGCTACGGCTTTCAGCCGTGGGAGCCCAAACCATGCCAGCAAACAAGCTGGTTGCTTCGAGAACCCCGTACGTTGACCGTAAGACTATGCTTGTGATCAAGGGGCGTTTAGGGTTTAGGGATGTTTCGGGGTTAAGGGGCGTTCAGAAAATCAAGACTGTGACGAATGTGGCCTCCCTATTCATGTACCGTCGACCCCGATTTCGAAGGCTAACCCTCAACTCAACTGAAAACCCGGAGCTGCAGGAGCCTGGACGGGGACCAGGACCCAGTGATCGCCCTCGTGCAGGGACCACCTCAGGCTTTGCACGGCTAAGCACTGTTTGCGAAGATAAGTGCAAAAAGCCATGTGTCCGAAAACCCGAATCCCGAAAAGCCCTGGATCCTTACCCCAATCCGCACTCCCGAAAGCCTAAAGCCCTAGACCCCTAGCCCCAGAATTCCTGACTCCTCAACCTGGTTGTCAGGATTGAGGACCTTCGGATATCGAGTCTAATGGAGGGGCGTCAATACTCATGAGAACAGGGTTTGGTGGAATACATTCAGACCCCTATATCATGGTTTTTGTTGGTGTAGAACCTCGCAAGAGAGTCCGATCGGGTGTGGAACCAATTCCATGTCATAGAGGTCTTAGCCGGCTTATAGAAGCGACCCTTCTCAATGAACAATGACTCTGTTGAATCACAGATCGAACAGCAACAGGACCTGGCTGGTGTGTGACTTTTTGTACTTTCTTCGCACGTGCAAGCTGCGCATTCATCTGTTGTTTGTGACCCCTGCTAGAATTAGATACTACGGTTCATGACTACCACAACTATTGCGTGTCCGAATGGGTTTTTGCTGGGACCCATCGCAAGGAGGCCTGCACAACTTATTTTTGACCTGGATTGCTTGATAGTGTCCGGCTTGCAGTTTCTCAACTGGCTTTAAGAAAGCTGCACGTACCTCTTGAATAAAGTCCCCCCCCCCCCACCATCCTAAATCCATCATGCCCTGGACTGCCCTCAACAAAAGTTCCTAGTTTCAGAGGCAGCATATGTAGCCAACCGAGTACTTCAGAGTTAATTACTTATAACAGTGATAGCCGAGCTTCTCGGGGTGTGGTGTGTAGTGAACTTTCAAATTATGCCCTGAACCCCAAACTTGAAGCCTGAATCCCCAAGCCCAAACTCTAACTGCCAAGCACTGAGCCCTAAACCGAAAACCTTCCACGTGATCGGCTTGGGAGGTGGCTATCCCAGTGCTGCCCCTGGGCTGTAGACCGACCATAGGTGTGGTTTAGGATGTTGGCATGGGCTTTGGGTTTAGGGTTAAGGTTCAGGGTTGAAAAGCACAGCTCCCACTTGCACGAGTCTGCTGCTTGCAGTGTAACGGTTAACGTATCCTTGGGTCCGTGTGCTCTAAAACTTTTTGTTTGGCCCTGGAGACCTTTTCCAAAGAGTGCGTTTTAGGTGGGACATGGACCCCTGGAAGGTAATTAGTCTCGCACGTCTGGAACACAAAATCCGGACCCGAAGCCCTAGCCCCAAACTAGAAACCCCAAACCCTACAACCCCTAAACCCCATACCGGAGACCCTAAACCCTTTGAGGCTTCAGCCAGGAGGAAGCAGTGCCATGCCCTAAGCTCATCTCATCTCTCGAAGGGATAGAAAGCGCTTGAACTACTTGCAAGCTAGGGTTCTAGGGTTTGAAAGTTCCTCCAAGACCCTGTAGCCAACAGCCCTCCTTCTGGCAACAGTCTTATCATCAAAAATCCCAAGCTCCACAGCCATGGTTTCTTTTAGGGTGAAGTAAGAAGAGGCCGGCCTGACCGCCACGACCAAAGAGAATAGTGTAAACATTGTGTTTAAAGTTTGCAGCATTTTTGAGAACCACTGGTTCACCATCGCGGATAGACTTGGCTGCCCTGGTCCCACGTCCACGGAGGTAGTATAACATGTTTCTTTACACAAAATCCGCATGTTGAAAACTCGGCGCCATATCAGTTTAGTTTGGGGATTGAGCACCGAGGCTACTGGCATGTGGTGCAATTGGTACCACCCTGATTGCCTCGTATTTGGCACTGGGCCAGTTTGCCGCGGATGCAATGTGCCCAAGCCAGCAGGGAGCATACCGTAAAAGCGCTAAATTCCATGAGCCAGGGCTACTGTAGTAGCCCTGAATCCAGCCCCAAGAAGCTCTAAGCCATGAACCTCAGGGCGGCGAAAGCTCTCTTTGTGACTTAGACCTTCTTTGGGTCCGAAGAGGAGGTCGACCTAAATGTTGTTGCTGAGGGTTAAACCCTAAACCCCTAAACTCTGTAGTCCTTAAACCGTATAACTCCTTCATTCTCCAACAGATGTGCAGCTCGCTGAGGTGTGCCGCCACCGGCTGCTGTTCCATAGAGGACTTAAAGCTCCGAATGCCCTCTTTGAAGTAGCTCTGGATCCACAAACCTGCTATTTTTCCATTCGGGGAGGTATAGTATACCTCATCAGGGGATCGTAAATGTTGTGGGATTTGTGGGCTGCAGGTACACCCCGGAGTTGAGTCTGCTGTTCCCCTATTCAGATTCCACACACACCCGGGTGTGCAAACTCAAGCCTGCTACGCAATTACGAGTCAGAAGGGTTTTTGTTGGCAGTATCGCTGCTTTTATCCTTAAACATTTGAATACCCCATAAGCCCAAAGTCTATTATCCCAGCATGCTTGCATCCTCATTCTAAGGCTCAGGGAAGCTCCGGCATTCCCCGAAGCCCCGAAGCACTTGTTCAGGGCTACTGTGCTTCGTTTACACCCAGTGCATAGTCCAAGTACCTCACTAACCTACAACATTACTATCCTAAACCCAAGTACCTAAGGACACTCAAGGACAATGCTTCTGGAGCTTGGAGCCAAGTACAACCCGATCCCGAGCCCTTAGCCCTAAACCTGAAGACCTGTATCTATAACTATAACTCCTATACTTAAAACCCTCGAGTCTGAACCCCCCAACCCTCAACTCCAAACCGCAAACCCTCGCCTTTTGCCTCCAACTTTTTCCGAAGGACAATGAGAGAGCGAAGATGGCTTCGGTTATCCTTCCAGCCCCTCCGAGGGCCTTTGGTAAATCTTACTTCTTCGCGTCATTGGGTTTAGGGTTCACGTAGAGTGGGCTACGGAGTTTAGATTGAGGTAGTTGCTGTGGTTGTGGTTGTTGTTGTAGTAGTAGGATAGTTGGTTTTGTTATTGTTTTAGCTGTTTGGGCCTACAATTTAATGGTCATGTCCCAAAACCATAAACAGGGACTGCCTGACTCCCAGGATCAGGCGTGCTTGCTCGTTGCCCAGGTCCTCAACATTGTAAACAGACCGTGCAGTCTAGTACCGTGTTGTGGTTGTCCTCAGTTCTCAGAACGTCATAGGACCTTATGCCAGACAGTCGGTCATCGATAAAAAAACGTACCACATTATGGGGTTTAGGGAGCGCCTGGAGCCATGGTGAAGAATTCCAGATGTGGACTTTGTGCTTTGCACGACTCAAGCTGAACCTCTGAACCCCTAACCCCTGATCCCTCCATCCCGCACGCCTTCCTCATACAAGCAGACAAAAGCAAGACCTGAACCTTCTCAACTTAAGCCCTAGACCCTCAATCCCAAGCCCTAAGCCCAAGGGTCCATGCACCCAAATAGTTGTTTTATTGCTTTGGCCTTACAGTAATTAGTTCCTATATAGGTACTTTTGGGGCCAAAGTTTCCACCATTTCGGCACAAGGACCCTAAAGGTAACCCCTATAAAACCGTGACCCCGACCCTCGGGAGGATCTAGCAAGTATATCCCCTAATTTGGGGCCCTAGGCTACTGAGGCTACTTTATAGGAGCCCCCCATCTCAGCAAGTTTCAAGGCTCTCGTGGCCTGCGTCGGCCCGCAGCTCTATCTGCCCCTACTGTCCTTCACCGGCGCCTTTCCCACGATGCTTCTGCGCCGCGACTGCCGGAGTTTAAGGGTCAGGGTTTAGTTTAGGGTTCCATGGTCCTCGTACTTTTTTGGTTTAGGGGTCAGGGTTTAGGGTTCCATGGTCCTCGTATTTCTTCAGGTTTAGGGGTTAGGAGTTAGGGTCTCCTGGCCCTAGTATTTCGTGCGCTTGTTTCATTGGGGCTTGGGGTGCAGGCTTGAGGTTTGGAATGGTGGATTATATGCAATTGTTGATCAAGAGTCTGGGGTTTAGGGTTGTTCAGGTCCGGATGTTGTTAAAATGTACGCTTGAATGGAGTACACCCGCCAGGTTTTCTGCCGTTCTGCAGAAGAGGACTGCCCCATTTTCTAAGTACGGGTGGTCCTGAATTCGGGACTCCAGTTAGGCCTATTGTCCCAACGCACTGCGATCTCTTATTCAGGTCATAAGGCCGTATAAGCCGCAACACCCTAAGCTCTAGAACAACTCTGGGCTTAGGGTTGAGGACGACAGCCCCAGACCCTAAGCCCTATCCCGTAGTTCAGGTATGGATTGCTGCCGCCTTTGGCGCTGCTTGCAGCACAGCGCGCCAAGGAACGCATGGTTCCAGGCACCGACGGATCAGCTGAAGGCTATAATTAATGGTCTTACCAAGACCTCCAAAAAACACTAAACCCTAAACCGTAGTGGTCTGAACTGATGAAAATGAATAGCTGTTTTTTATCATCCCCAACAAACACTATTCTGCTCTTCAGGCCCCAATGTTGGGCTACAAAGCTTTAGTAGGGCTTCCCTATGTAACCTTGCAAGAGGCGTCGGTGTGAAATAGAGGGTAGCCGGGGTCTAGGTTGCGTATGCGAGCTCAAAGCCAGCCGCAACCTTGCACTAAAGTCACTAAACCCTGCTTTAATGGCGAGGATAGAGCCGTTGAGTTTTCGCAATATGTGGACTTACTGGCTGAAGAAGTATACCTTACACCTTTCGGGATCATATTAGCTGAAATTTTAAACTGCTTTGGGCTTATGAATTCAGCAATCATCTAAACCCTAAACCACTGAATTTCGAGGATAGAGTCGGATTTCACCATATGTGTGGTGACTCCCACATGCAACGGTCTTAAAGCTCAGCTTTGAGCCCCTTAGAGCCGCTCAGAGGGGCGAGAACCGCTTGATGGTCTCCTTGTCCCCGCCACCCCCACACATCCTTAATGGATGTCTTCTCACTATGCAAGTGCATGTTTAGGGCATAGTAGAGGAGCTGCTGCTTTAGGTTAGGAGTCAAAGTGCCTTGCTTCGCTGCGAGGCACTATTCTGGTTTCGGGAGGTAAAGAAAGCTTCAGAGAACTCAAAAAAACCCAATACGGGACCTCTGGTGCATGTGGCAACCCTAAACCAAACACCCGACTATACCCTAGACCTCATTTTGGTTAATGTGTGGAGCCTCACTGAAGACTGCCTGGATCCGGAAAGCGTTGCTTTCATGGTGCCAAACACACGGCTGAACAAACTTAGCCAAGCCTTGTACGGTAAGCCTTAAACTTGTTTTGTACTCTAAAACCCCTAAACCCTATAAGCCTTCGGTTGAAAGCCTCTTCCCACTCCTATTCAGGTGGCCGGCTGATGTTGATTTTCCTTGCAGCTCTTTCTGTGAAGCATCTCGATACCTGCAGGTTTTCTTTTTTTTGTAGGGGGGATGTGGGTGGGGGCGTGGCATCGGGGATGGAGGGCTTTAGTTGTTTAGGCTCGTGATTTGGGGCTCAGGGCCGGGTGGATCTGTGAACACTCCTGATGACTAACCACGCGAAGTTCAAGGGTCTGCGACGAAAGTAATAGGTCAGGAGGTCATCAAGCATGGTAGCTACAGTGATTACTAGCCATTTGGAACACTGACGAGGGAGCTTGCAAGTCCAGTTAAGGCACTTGTAAGCCCGACTCAGTGGCATCAACATCCCCATCTCAGGTACCTGTACCTGAAACTACCGCATCTTCCTAACATAGAAATTGTAGGAACCCTACAAAACTAGGGTATGGTAAGGTAAGCCTGCTCCTAGCGACCCAGGAACCTTCAAGCAGGGTACGACAGCGTAGGATCCTCTTCCATCTGCGTAGAAATCCTGTCTACACGGATCTGGTTTAGCGTTCAAGTTCGGGGCGTTCGGGCTTTCTTGGGGTAAACCTATCCCTTACTACTTAACTAGGCGGTGGCAATTGGGAAGCTTGTGAATTTTCCCTCATGGTTCCTATAGAGGTTCCTATTCATAAATACTTTTCAGAGCCCCGAAACTGCAACCCAGTTCAGGGTTTTCAGAGGATGCAAATGAGAAGGCCCATGCCAAGTACAAAAGTACAACCTCCAGGGTCCAAGTAGCCAGGCCTCAAACCGCCCTTACAATGAAGGACCCTGAGGCCTCCATATTTTTGGTACCTGATAGCAGGTGCTGCTATCCCTTCATCCGATACTCCCCTAAGTAGGTTGCTGCTGCGCTGCTAAACCCCACTACCCAAGTAGTTGGATCTTCAGAGCACCCGCCAACATGAATATCCCTTAATTAAGGACGTTTCCTTATATTATAACGGATCCCTAATATGGTTTAAGGAATATTCCTTCATTTAGGGATATGATATGAGTATTATATGAGTGGTTTAGGGTTTACCTTTGACTAGTATAACCTAGTTTTTGTTGTGAGATCCTTGTAAAGTCGATATTAAGGATCTAATAGTTGAGGACGCACAAAAGCGTAGGTTGTGGTAGTTAATTTAAGGTAGGATTCAGAATTCAGGAGCCTCGGTTTACAGAGCAGTGGTTTTTGCACTCTACACTTGGAGGATCAGGGACGTTTAGGGACTTAATAAGTCGAGTTGCAAGTGCCTTGAGCCGGGTGATAAGTTGCTAGGGTTCGAGCTACCTTACTTCAAATCCCTACTTGCCAGGCCCCTGATCCTTTATGTAGGGTGCATCGACAGCGTGCGATTTGGCGGTTTGTTGAAGAAGTGGGCACTCTCCGCCTCCCGTCAAGCTCTGATCTCTCACTCTCCAAAGCTGGATCTTGTTTGGCAGGGAGCGTGAGAACCCTAAACCCTAAAGCCTTAGGCTAGCAGTAGTTGGACAGCGAACAAGAATCCTTCTTCTGTAACGCAAAAGTTAGGTTCATCGGTCCTCTGAACCCGCAACATCCGAAATCCATAAACCCTAAACTTTGGGGCCTTGTAAACCCCAACATCAAAGGCAACACCCCATGCAAGCCTCGAGTCAGGTTCCTGCTGACCAACCTCTTCCTCTGGCTTCGCCCTGCGTGAGCTTTGAATGAAATAGCCATGTTCTAAAGGCTGAAAATGCTAAGGGTCCATGTGCATATACTGAAGTCCCAAACCCCTACAGTACCCTAAAAGCAGACTTATTATTCAAGGATCCCGTAAAGGAACTCTCATTTTCCAGGAGCAAGACCCCTTCATCCTTAAACTGCCCTGAACCTTACTTGCAGGATCATGGGACTTAGTAAGTAAGGTTATAAGTACATTAATTGGGGTTATAAGTATTTATAAGTATAGTTGCCCTAATTATAACCCTAGTTACTACCTAACTTAGGTAAGTCCTGTGATCCTTTAAGTAGACGCCCCTCAACCCTCTACCCTGAAGCCTCATTCGAGAGGAGCACATGGACCCTTAGGTAAAGCTTCGAGCGCAAATACTTGGCATCTGCGCCTCCTGAGCCCATGGAACGATAGAGCACCCTGGAATCAAAAAAGTCCCAAAGGGTCCTTTGTACCTAAATGGTAGGATGGCTTCTACATCAGGAATGTCTAAGCTGATTTGGAAAAATTCCTAGGACCCCTGTGGTACGTCATAGGGCTGAGGGTTGAAGATGTATAGGGTTTGTGGGGCTTTTCGGGTGTAGGGTCTTCTCGGGCTTAAGCTTGGGGCATCAGGGGTTGATGCTTTAGGGGTTTAGGGTTTAGCGCGTCACCCTGAAAAAAACCCTGTACCCATTCATACATGGTGTATGCATATAAAGTGTTTTTGGCCTCGAAGAAAGTTGCTATATGAATATATACTTTGGGGTCAACGTATCTGTAGTAGAAGCGCCTCATTGCTCAGCTATCATGGGGTTCCGGTTTAGTAAATGTAGGGCTTAGCGTTTAGTTTGTGAATCCCGACGTGAGAACCCTCAGTCTAGACTCGAGATGACAATCTCAAGGTTTGCAGCTTTAGCATTCGTTGTCCGACCTAGCACGACCTTTCAAGGTCTGCTGAAGATTACTTCTAGCAAAATGTACTCACAGATGTCTACCGGTTACGGGACTCTAAAGGGCATGCCAAGATGAGCACATATAGCGAGTCTTCCTTCCAGCTTCCTGTTCAGTATGGTTCCCTGCGTAGCTGGTATTCAGGATGATGGACACGGGTCTTTTCAGCGCTTACTGCCTTTTGTGTGCTTTATTCGTCGTGTTTGTTCATGGCCATTGGGGCACGGAGTAGGTCTGTCGTATTTAGGTTGTCCTGGTTCTGGAATCGGTACTGCACTTCGTTCCGAGATGGAATGCTGGCTACAAGAGGAAACATATCCTCATCCACGCGGTATCGTTGCTATTGCTTCTAAAGTCTCAAGCCTTAATGGCCTTAATGTTCATAATGTAACCCTGAACCCCGAATACCCCCAAACCCGAAACCTGTAAAAACCCTAAACCGTAAACCCCTAAACCCCTAAAGCCTTTGTCTATCCTTGGGCCCGGAGAGGGCGGAGCGCTCCGTTACAATACCATCAAGCTCCAAGGGTGCCGGCTCGGCTTCAAAATGAGGCCGGGCAAAGGGCACATCATATGTTTCTCAATCCTACCTGAAGTTTCCATTCTAGCTCCTTGTTGGTTTACCTTATGTATAGGATCCTAAACATGAAACTATTGTTGCTTTTTTGGGCTACCTTATAGGCTCCTTTAACATGAAACTGGTTGCATAAACCACAAAACGGGACCACAATGGAGACTACAGGTAAAGCCTGTGAAGCCCAGGCACCTGAGTTCAGGCCTGAAGGCGATCCGCTGATGACAACATGAAGCACTGTTGTCACAGAGCGTGCGGCAGGCGGGCACGACCTGGCCCATGTCACAAGGGTCTACAGAGCGTGTAACTTGTTTTCAGCACCGAAGCACTCATCATCGCAACATGTTGCAACGTAACTTCAATCCACATCAGAACCAGTAAGTAGTGCACCGCTGGCAGAAGAGCAAGTCAGTGGTTGTCGGTCACATGACAGGTTCATCACAAAGGTTGACGAGCCCCACTGGGCTTTGTGCCGCCTCCGCTTCTTTCCACGGTTCATGATATGTACTATGATACTGCTGATATGATCTGACATGCGCAGGCAGTGATATTATCCTGGTGTTGGACTTGCCTCGTCCACTACATGAGTGAGACTGCTGGGTCGGCAGTAGCGAGCAATCGAGATTGAAATAGCCTTGAGTGTCGCAGTATGGACAAGAAATGAGTAGACAGTAGGTCTCAGTGATCGTGAGATTGGCAAGCACTTCCACAAGGCTCGACAGCAACAAAGCACAAAGCATGGTAGTACTGAACAGATGGCACTTGGACCAGTTGGACCCCGCTGCGGTTAGGGGCTTGCCAGCCTGTCGCCCATTATCGTTATACACATGCAGAAATCTTAGCTCCCCGTGATGTTTGACGGGGAAAGTTCCCGTGCTGTTCACGTTTTGGCTGCTTCGCAGCCCGGCAAAACCTTCCACGAAGCATCACCTTTCAGCAGAAAAATTGGGTTCAGGAATTCAGGCTACGGGTCGAGTTCCAGTGTATCGGGGTTCGTGTCAGGCTGTGCGGTTAACGGTCACGTTTATGGTTTAGGCTTGTTGTTCAGGGTTTGGACTGACAGACTGTTCACTTGTAGTGGGCTGACAGCGACTGTGGTTAAGATTGGACATGCTGAAGTTGCTTGGTAGAACCATTGCAGTCCTCTGTTGCTCGGAGAGGTTCAATCCTGACACTTGGCACCCAGAGAGCAAACGCTGATAGACCCGAGTGCCAAAGATTCACGATTGGGGAACTTAAGCCAATGATGTTCTTGTTGGCCTTGGTCTCGATTGAATCCTCAAGCCGTACGCCCTACGCCCTAAACCCTTAGACTCCTAGGCCTCAAACCCTGAACACTAAACTCCTGAGCCTGAACCTCTAAACCCTAAACCAAGACCTCCATCCTCAACAGTTTCGGAAGACGAATCGAAGCGAGCCCGGGCTATGGAAGCTCGGCCAGATCTGCACAAATAGTGGGAGCCTCAATGACTATGGGCTAGGATTACGCTTGTTATTTTGGGTTTAGGGTTTGGATTGTTTTCAACTTTGGTTTCAAGGTCATTGAGCTCCTATGCAAGACCGCGATATGCAGTGGCAGTATTCTACATGCTCGCGGGCTCTGCACGTGATTTGCGATTGGCAGATCGTGGCATCATGCAAGGCTGTTTATGGGTGTAGAATTGCAGAATTTACCATGTCTCTGCTTGGCCGTAATCTTTGGACGCTTGCCCTAGTTTAGACCGTAGCTACAGTCTTTGTACGCCATTTCGCCGCCAATTCACATCAGAGCTTGCAAGCTGATGAATTCAACATAGAAGGGGCTTTCCCAAAGCTGGGGGACCCTTGCAGTGTCCGGCAACGGGAATACGGAGGGTTTAGGGTGCATCTTCTCGTTGAAGTGCTTAGATTTCCTTGGCCTTGGCACGCACAGCGATGCATTGTTTGATTGTTTCCCCTGCAAGTGTTCACCACATGCATCATCTATAAGATAAGCAATAGTGCAACTCCGTAGTCAATGAAGAAGTTTGAAGATTATTACCAGTAGTTCATTTTACACATCTAGTTCATATACGACACGATACGGCCACTCAAAACTCTCTTTAAAGTAGTGTTTATCTCGTGACGAAGTAGCCGACGTTGCTCTCCTGCTGGCCACTCGAGGCCCCCCCTCTGCACACATGCGGGATCACGCCTGCCAATCCATTGCAATACCTTTCTAAATCGACGCCTGACTTGGCTCTGCGGATGGAAAAGGCTCATGAACAGATGGTCGAAATAACACAGATACAGAAGCCGGTATCAGAGTTACGGGGTAAATCCACTATCCGAATTTATGGGCGTGAACCTTACAGCCGATGACTGAACCCCGGAGCCCTAAACTCTGAGCGTCAACTGTAACTAATCCATGACCTCCCGAGCATAGGTCAACCCCTCATTGCAAACACTCAAGAAATCGTCGCACCAAGCCCCAGCAAATGGATAAACAACTCTACAAGCGAAAGAGTGAATAGGTAATCATATCTGTATATATAATATAATATAATATAATACAATATAATATAATATAATATAATATAATATAATATAATATAATATAATATAATATAATATAATATAATATAATATAATATAATATAATATAATATAATATATATGTATATATATATATATATATATGGATGGACATCTATGATTATGTATGAACGCAACCATAATGATATACACATACACTTCCATATACACATGCAGATACATCGACACATACACACACACACATATATATATATATATGTATACATATGTGTATATATATATATATATATATATATATATATATTCACATATATACATGTATAAACACACACATAACACATGCGTGCACAAATGCACACATATGTATGTATACACATACATACGTACAGGCAGGCAGACAGACAGACAGACATATACACACGTCTATGTATATACACAGAGTTACATGCATTTACATGTTTATAGGCACCTATACACACGTATGAACATGAATGCGAACGGACTGCGATGCCTTGTCAAGTTCTAAGGTGTCACTATAAGAGCTGTGAGCAAGACCGTGTAGAGTGCAAGAGAAGGGGGCACGCTACGCGTCCCTCGACTCTAGGAGTAAGCTTGTGGACGTGCTACGCACACCGCATTGCTTCTCCTTACCTTTCTATGTGACCGCCCACGCAACGTTTGGCTCAAGTCAATGCCCATAGCTAAGTGCTATATGTGTCTTCTATCCTGAGCAATCAGAGCTATCCCGTGCACAGACGAACCGCCGCCGGCAGCGAGTGCAAAAGGAACGGCCGCCGGTTCTGCCTGCATAAGATTGCACGTGTGGAAGTGTGAGAGAGACAGGGTCCCAGTCTGTGGAGAGTGCAAGCCAGCCACACCTATATTCATTACAGCTCTGGTGGGGAGAGCAACAACATAATCGAGATCAATTCCCCACGCAGGTTATCAGCCGTACGCGGCTC